TGAGATAGCGTAAAGACTTGATAGTTCCACGAATTACAGTACTAAATAACTATAAGAAAATAAAAGACTTACTTTGGTGGACGACTCGCACCAAAAGTAGCAAAAAAATAGCAATCTGGCAGCAGCAAAATATCTTGTGATAGCAACTCCAATGATAGCGGGATAACTTGTAATTTCTAGTATTGCGTTGCCTCTTTTATAATAGAGTATACGTGTATTACACCTAGGGCGTTAACTAAGTAAAAATGTAAGTACGCTTTACGCGTTTCCTAGCGGAAAGTACCGTACCATGACATAAGCGTGAAAACCTACAAAATGCTTCTACAAAGATTGATATAATCACGTTCTATAACATAAAATAAAAAAATATCTTAAAGCAACTAAAAAATATTATAAGACAAATGAACAAAAGAGCGTTTCAAAACACCGTTCAATAGATAAAGTCCAGAATCTAGGAAGTGAAAGGAGGTATATATACAAAGACCGTCGCCAAGATTCAGGTCACAGGAATATTTCGTACACGAGATATCCGAAGGAATGTTTTACCCAAAATTATAGAAATTTGTATGGAGACGCCACGCGGGTGCCCACCTGGGTGAGCGCCAACTTGGCGGACGGAAAACAACAGAAACATCTGTTACCGAGTTTTGCTACAAAAGCGTGAATTTATTCTTCGAGAAACTCATAAACATTAAATTTATACTTTTTCTAGTACATGAACTGTTGAGATAGCAAAATTTCCTGAAATAAGTAATTTTTTTAAACCTACATGACAGCTCTCTTGGCCGTCATGTAAATGCCGCGTCACTCAAAAGCTTAGAAATTCAAGCGTACTCTATTAAAGTGAAAATTTGTATGAAAATTAGTTTTCAGCTGCTCTAATGCATCGTGAAAGTAAAATCTCGGTAGGATCGATAGTTTTTTATTTTGAAGTTTAGTGACGTCATGTGAAAACCAGTGATAAAGGCATATTTTCCGACCCCAAGACCGTAAAACAATAAAAAAGAAAGCAAAATCCTTCTCTTCCGTTGACGGCTGATCATTCACGAAGAATTTTCAGTGCTATCAGCCAAGCGAGGAAGAACGCTTTCAACTTCCGCTGATTTCAGTAGCCAATCAGATCCTGTGGCATTGTTCCTAGCTAATCAGCGTTGCGGACAAAATCTGGCCGCGGTGAGCACAAACGTGAGAGAGTTTATATCAGGCCCAATTTTAGCGGGAGTACGTAAGAGACATGTATGAGAACTCCTAAAATTGGGCATGATCTCAGGTTAGATGTCAATATGTACGTAAATACTTGTATTAAGGCAGAACGTATTTCGTATAGCGCTCAATTCATTTAATTGAAGAGCATGGACTATTAATAATAAACAGAAGTTCAGGCTTCAGCAGTAATCATCGATCGTTTATTGCGTTTATTGTTTTTTGCGGACCATACGAAACAGCACTGTCGCAATAAACGATCGATGATGACTCCTGAAGTCTGAACTCCTGTTATTATTAATATGCATGTATGTATGTGTGTAAGTGTGTATGTACACACGTGAACGCGTGAGTATGCAAGGACTTGCTCTGTATGATAGATCTGGATTGTTAAGTAATTACTGTATAATAGCAATGTAATCATGTATCTATATGCTTTATGTAAGTAATGTAAATCAGTGATGCAAATTACAAAAAAAAAAAGGATAAACAAACGTTAAAAACGGAGGATACTTTATACAAATTGAATACTTTCCGATATAGACCAATTTGTGGTCTTTTTCCCACTTAAATGTCGATCAGTCTTTACGGCAGACTTTTCGACTAATCATTCAGGCTCTATTATTTGCGAAACATCTTCACCGCTTTTGCTGTTATAGTTTGAGTGGCTAGAACAAAGCTAAATTCCAAGAACAGTTAGAAAGTTTTTCATCATTGCCGTCGATTTTTGGGTACTTGGAAAAGAGATGAAAAACACAGCTGAACACGCAATCATGAAAAAAAATCTTTATTTAGGCACGCCCGTGCGTAAATAAAGATTTTGTTCATAGCGGCTCAATAGGACTTATATAGGGCAAGCACGCGGGCTATGTTACATCCTCGGAGACCCAGGAGCAGTCAGTCGGGCCGGGTTAAAAGGCGCGTCGAAAGTTTTCAAGCATGGCACGGTCAAGCGATTGCTGGCTCCTGATTGGGCACAAAAAATGCTTTGTATTATTGTGCCCAATCGGCGAACAGCATCTCCTGAGTTCTTTTCGTGAGTTCGTACACGACGGCTATTGACTCGATCACGGCTTGTCTCGCTCATGCACCAAGGAAATGCACGCAGTCAGGAATCTTTCAGTTTGATGTAAACGCTATATTTCAAAATACTGGTACTCTTTACACCAGAGCCTAAATAAGCTAAGAAATATTTCAAGACAAGTAAATTTTAAATTCTTCAAGTAAAAGCTAGCTTCACACACAATCTATCTTTTTTCTTCAGGTCTTGGTTAACATGCTTCGCTTTTCTCAAAGCTTGGAAACCGCAAGTTCGCTAAGACGGTTTTAATGAGATGCAAAGTAAAGTTACTCGAGATTTTGCTTAGGCCTTCACACACGCATTTTTGGTTAGGTAAAACTTAGCAGCTCTCTTACTTACAAGCCTAGCGCAAAGACAACCATTACACGAAAACTTAACGTAAACTTTTTTTTAAAACTTTAATTTATTATTTTAAGCTAAATTTACATCACACAAAACGTGTACATATTACAACAAAACGAAACAAACGTAAACATAGCTGAGGTTACATTTATGCTTGAATTCGCTTAGCCACTTACAATAAAAGGAAAGGACGGTGAACGGTGGACGTTGGATGGCTCAACTTTGCAGGACACAAAAGAAAAGTCAAGCGATTAGCTAGAGGGTAACAAGTGCAAGCAACAAATTTAAATAAGAAAAAATATCCATTTGTTTGAAAAGACGGTGAAAGAATTACAGCGGAGCGCTTCTTGTTTTTCCATCTCAATGACGGAATTTAGTTTGCCCTTAAAAAGAGTCATGGAGGGAGACGTACCTGCAAGTTTGCTTGAGTATATATGATGTCTACCAATAAGAAGAACGAGATCAATGGCCGTAGAGGGTGCAAAGTTAGAGAGTCCCGTCAGATGCACATCGATTAGTGCCGTACTCTTGAGGCCCTTTTGAATTAAAAACTGTTTAACATCGTTCCAGAAGGCAATTGTTGCCGCACATCTCAGAAATAGATGAGATATAGTCTCTATTTCACTTTGGCGAAAAGAGCATTTGTCCGATTGCTTTAAATTAATTTTCTTTAAAAAATCATTGGTAGCAATCCTCCGATGCAAAAACTTATAATGAAAAGTTCTTAATTTTGTAGAAGCCGGAAAGTGGAAAGCGATTGTGTATCCATCTTTCCAATCAATATCACTTGCATTTTCGACTTCAAGGTCACTGAGCCACTTCCTTTTGGCTTCTAATGGATGTAGAGATTCTTTTTCTCAGTAGCGACTTATAAATAAAGTTGTTAACTTTACTTTTAGATGTTAATTCAATTATGGATGTTCCCTCGGTGGAAACAACCTCTTACGTCGGTTCATTTTGCACCTTATTTATAAGTGATTTAACAGCTGAAGCTATACTACAATATTCTAACCAATTTAACTCCTGAAAATTTGATTTCATGGCATCACATCCGAGGAGGTTCCCACCCTCATCTAATAGATGAGAAATTTTGCAGACACCATGATCCATCCAGTGTTTACGGACTACGGGCTGATTGTCAATTTGTATCAATGAATTAAGCCAGATAATCTGATCGGCAACATTTGCAATGGAGATGACTACAGCATCAGAGAAATGCAACTCCGCCAAGATTGTTGACATGACCTCACATACAAAAGGATTACGTATTTTTAACAGTGGAATGTCATCTTTGTGTAGATTACAAGAGAAAATAAATTTCCCACCATACTGAAGCTATACTACAATATTCTAACCAATTTAACTCCTGAAAATTTGATTTCATGGCATCACATCCGAGGAGGTTCCCACCCTCATCTAATAGATGAGAAATTTTGCAGACACCATGATCCATCCAGTGTTTACGGAATACGGGCTGATTGTCAGTTTGTATCAATGAATTAAGCCAGATAATCTGATCGGCAACATTTGCAATGGAGATGACTACAGCATCAGAGAAATGCAACTCCGCCAAGATTGTTGACATGACCTCACATACAAAAGGATTACGTATTTTTAACAGTGGAATGTCATCTTTGTGTAGATTACAAGAGAAAATAAATTTCCCACCATACATTTTAAGATTGTCATCAAAAAAAAAAAAAAAAAACTTCCATCTTCCATTATTTGTCGGGTCAAGGTACTTCTTGATCCAAGATGCTTTGAGAGAATTATTGAACGTATATATATCAATCATCCTCAAACCACCTTGCTCATAATCCCTTATAACATGCTCTCTTTTAATCTTCTCGCCTTTACCGTCCCAAAGGAACTCAAAAAGAAGTTTGTTCACCATTTGCAGTGCGTTTGTATAAGTAGGGAGCGGAGTCAAAATATAAATGAGTTGGGAGACCAGAAGACTTTGATAAGAGTGATTTTTCCCAATAAGGTGAGTGTAATGTTTTGAATGGATTTCAAAACAGGATGCAAACGATTAACAACGATTTAATAAACAGTTGCAAGAAGACGCGTTACAGCATCGGTAGACGCCATGATCGTTCTGCTACATATATCCCATAGTTCCTAGCGAACATCTGGTATCAATAACTTCCGGTTTATATGAACATTACATCTCTTTCTCCCTAGTGGGTAACTCTCCAGAACAATATGGAAAGAAATAAAATAAACTTCAACTAATCAGTGTCCATGAAACTATGACTACTGACTGGAATCAAAGTCCAACAGAAACAAACGTTTTTGTACAGGCGACAGTATTTTTAACTTAACAAACTATACTGTCATAGTTCAGAGTTCACAGTTCAATAAGAATCCAGGCCTACAAATCAAGAATCTGGTGGGGAACTCGTTTCCTGGAAGATCTACGCAATGGTGGTTGACCAACCGGGTGAGACGCACTAGCTTGGCTCTCTGGGATAGGGCTAAATGAACTTGTAGGATTAGCTTGCACGCCAGGGGAGCTCACAGGTTTTGATGCAGACGGGTCAGAAGCATGAGCACGTGTGCGTGCAGCAGACAGCTCTTGTTGGTGTTTGATGTCAGCTGGAGAGCTGAGACCACTGTCATGGGACGGATCATCATCACGGTTGATGACTGACTGGTCCAGAGTTTTAAAGAAAGAGGAATTTCTGGTAACCGTGTGATTCTCGTTTTGAGCTGTGATCATGCTGCCTTTCTTATCCACTACAGTCAAGGGGGTAGGGTCGTAAACAGTTGCACCTTTAGACGCAGTGAATGGTCTCTTCACTAGTACGGTTTCACCGGGTGAGATAGTGCTGGGTTTCATATAAACCTTGCTGTCAGCATGAGCCTTGAACTCGGATTTCTGCGAGAAATCGCGTTCGCGGACGGTCTCCGACACAGGGTCAACGTAGTTGGTCTGTGGTAGCTTGTTACGCACAGGACGTTTCAGTAACAATACTGCTGGGGCCACACCAGTGGTTTGATGAGGAGAGGTGCGATAGTTTCTCAGAATCGCTTGCAGTTCCTTTCTCCAGTTTCATCCTTCCACTTTAGCAGCTTTACGACAATTCTTCAGTGTTTTCACGAATCTCTCCACCTCACCGTTGGCCCTAGGCCATAATGGGGTTACCTTGCAATGCTTGAAACCAAGCGCATGAGCAAACTTGGCAAATTCTTCTCCGCTGAAAGGTGGACCATTGTTTGATCTAACAATCTTGGGAGTTCCGAATGTAGCAAACAGCTGATCTAACTTAGGTACGACAGCACTAGCGGACGTTGACGACACTGGTTCTACGAACGGGAACCTTGAATAATCATCAACCAGTAGAAGTAGGGTTTCACCCTCAACATGCGCAAAGTCGATGCTTACTTCATCAAAAGGGCTGTCAGGAAGAGCTGATACTTGAACAGGCTCTCAAGCGTACACTGGGGTTACAAGTTGGCACGGTAAACAGGCCTTACCCTTTGTTTCAACCATCTTGTCCATGCATGGGAACCACACCTTCTCTCGCAGGAGGGCTTTAGTTTTAACTATGCCAAAGTGACCTTCATGGGCGATGTCAACAATTCGTTCTTGCAGCGCAGCAGGAACTACTAAACGATCGGATTTTAACAAGACAGAGTCAGTGCAGGTTAACTGCTCCTTGACTTGCTCATAGCGGGATAGCTCAGATAGTGATACACCAGGTGGCGCCTTATGCCAGCAACCAGATTTCATCGCAGACATAACCGCTTGTAGCACTGGATCTGTTGCGGTTGCAGATTCAACCTCAGACAATGTTACAGCTTTTGGTACTGCATTTCTTGTAATAAAAGAGATGTGGTCTTCAGACTCGATTTCATAGTTGTGAGATTCCAAGTCTCCTACTGGGTGTTTCGAAGCATAATCTGCTGGGTTTGAAGCACCAGGGTGATATTCTACTGTGAATCGGTACTGCTGTAGCTCCATGAGCCAAGGTTCTATCCTGGCGGACGGTTTAGAGGTGGGGTTAATTGTTATTAAACAAGGAAACCAGAGGTTGATGGTCTGTGATTACTTTAAATTCCCCTCCATAGATGAACAAGTGAAAGCACTTTACAGCCCAGTAAACTGACAAAGCTTCACGATCAATCTGTGGATATCTAGCTTGAGTTGGTGTTAGTGGAGAACTGGCATAATGCAAAGGTGTCACTTTATTAGTCGAAACATCTTTCTGGGTCAGGACAGCACCTAGACCAATGGGACTACCATCGACAAGGATGGAAGTAGGTTTCTTTGGATCAAAGTATCCAAGGGTAGTCTTGGTAGATAGTGCCGCTTTTAGGCGTTCAAATGTTGACTGTTCCTCCTCAGTCCACTGCCACTTCACTCCATTACAGGTCAGCTGTCGAAGAGGTCTGGTGATTAGTGCAAAGTTCTTGTTGAACCTAGAGCAGAACGCAGCCGAGCTAAGGAGGCTTCGTACTTCAGATACATTGGTCGGTGGCATAACATTTTGAAGAGCTTCAACCTTTTTAGGATCAGGTGACATGCCCTTTTCATAGAACACATGGCCAAAGAAGAGCATAGTGGGAACTCGAAACTGACACTTAGGTAAGTTTATTGTCAGACCACTCTCCTGGAGTTGACGGAACACTTGTCTCAGTTGTCGGTCATGAGTGTCTTTGTCTGCGCCCCCAACATAGATGTCATCACTGATGTTCTTGACGCAGGGTATGCCACGGATTGCATCACCCACCTTCTTTTGGAAGATTTCTGCTGCGCACGAGAGGCCCAAATTGAGACGTTTGTATTGAAACAGTCCAACGTGTGTAGAAAACGTGCTCAGTGCTCTCGAATCGGGGTGCAATGGGATCTGGTGGTACCTTTGATTTAAGTCGATCTTACTAAACACTTTACAACCGTTCAAGTCTGACACTACGTCATCGATGGTGGGTATGATGTGTCGCTCCCTGATGATAGCTTTGTTTAATGAACGCATGTCCACACAAATTCTAATTTCGTTCGGTTTATTCGGCTTGGGCACAACAACAGTTGGCGATACCCAAGGGGTGTCACCTGCTACGCGTTCAATGATGTCATCATTTTCAAGCTGTTTGAGTTTTTCCTCCACCCGCTTTCTTACATGGAAAGGGACTAGGCGATGTGGCTGTGCCACGGGTTTGACAGATTCATCTACTTGTCTGCGTGCTGGTTCACCTTTGTACTTGTCCATTCCAATGGTTAGATTAGGAAATTCCTTAAGAAAATCTGGGGCATCAGGTGGCAGGTTAACAGGAGGTTAGACCGTACTAACAGCTTTAATAAGATTTAATGCTTGTGAGGTTGTCCAGCTGAGTATGGAGCTTGATGAACCCTTTGCGACATAGAATGTTTCCACGGATGAACAGCTACCACTGGTGACAGTAGCTCGGAACTTTCCACACAGGGTTAGTGGCTTATCAGATAAGTATGGATACACTTTGGCACTTGTATCAGCCAGTTGCGGCTTTGATTTAAAGCCATCAAAGTCTTTCTTGCTTAAGATATTCACAGTTGCTCCTCAATTTGCCATTATGCGGATAGGTGTGTTCATGATGGTGACCTGAAAGATAGGCTTAGCAGCTTGGTGTTCCTGTGCACCAATGTTAAAAGTATACTCTTTGCTGTTGTCACTATCAACACCCGCTAGAGATGACATTTCACTACTCGGAGACTCTTCAACATCTGCAGACCTGGCATGGTGTTTACCTTTTGACAGTTTCTTTGGGTGCGAAGATTTGGACCGATTATTGGGTTTGCCACGACAAACTTTGGAGAAATGGTTCATTTTGCCACAGTTCAAACACTTTTTACCTTGAGCAGGGCAAGTTCCTTGATGTGGGTAATTTCCACCACATAAACCACACCTATTGTTACGCAATCCAGACTTTGGTAGACCACGAGAATTCTCTTTCTGCTGAACGTCGGTTGCTTTATTTCTACCATAGCCCACTGCGTTGGATTTCTGTTTCTCCATCTCAGTGGTCTGTTCGTCGGCGGTTTCCATGGCGCGAGCTACTTTCAATAAGTTCTCAAGATTGAGGCTCTGTTCGATTGCTTTACGTCTCAGGCGAAGCGATGAGGTTCCTTGAATAATCTGCCGCTTAATTTCTAGTTCGGGATCGGCGAATTGACACTTGCTTGCTAACAGCTGGAGTCGTGTGTAAAACTCGGTAATGTTTTCACCAGACTTTTGATAATCCACACACTTTTGAGGCTCGAAATGATCAGCAAGAGCCTTTACGGCAGTCTTGTATTCGTCACTTCCTCCCGGCGGTTCTGGAACGGTAAGGGTCTCAAACACATCACAGGTTTCTTCTCCTACGTAATGTAACAACATGGCTTTCTTTTGAGATGCTCGGGTAATGTTCATTGCTGTAAACATGTTGTCCAAACGCTTGACATACTTCTCAAAGCGAACGGGTACTGTATCCCTTGGTTGAAGATCAAACTCAGGAAAGGTCGGTAGGTTAATTGCCATTGCAGAGGCTGTTGAAGGCTGCGAAGGCGAAGTGGTTAATGAAGAATCTGCAGGCATTGAAAACAAGGCTAATCGATAGGATCTTCCGGTTGATTTAACACTTTAAACGCAAAGATTTCCGTCTTCGATTACTTGCATCCCATCCTCGTCGCCATTTGTGATGTTTTGAATGGATTTCAAAACAGGATGCAAACGATTAACAACGATTTAATAAACAGTTGCAAGAAGACGTGTTACAGCATCGGTGGACGCCTTGATCGTTCTGCTGCATATATCCCATAGTTCCTAGCGAACATCTGGTATCAATAACTTCCGGTTTATAACGTTTTTTATTTTCCCAATCCTTTCATCGTAGTTAGAACGGAGCATTAAGTTTCTGTCCGTTGCGAGCCACACACCTAATGCAAAGACTTTCCCCTCCACCCAGGAGATATCAGGCTTGTTGCACTCTACCTAGAACCTCGATTGTTCTACGAAAAGAGCCCTCTGAGCCATCGAGTATCAACGTCGTGTCATCAGCAAATTGGTTTAGCTTGTGTTCGACTTCACCCGTCATAAAACCTTTTACGTCTTCATCTCTCCTAATGAAGTTGGCTAGTATCTCGGCCGATATTATAAATAGATATGGCGACATCGGGCAACCTTGCCTGACCCCTCTACCTAAAGAAAAGCTCTCCGAGACCCATCCATTGTTCTGGATAGCACTGGAGACCTGATTATAAAATAATCTGAACCAGTTTACTAGAGAGGGCACAAAATTGAAATAGTTAAGGGCTCTTTCTATAAAAGCCCACTCTATCGAGTCAAATGCCCTCTCAAAGTCAATGAACATCAATAACTGGCCAGGTTTATTCATATTACCTGCGTAATTTAGAATACCGTCAATTAGAAAAATATTTTCTGCAATAGAGCGTCCCTTCAAGAAGCCACTTTGATCACCATTGATAATTTTAGGAAGAACCCGCTTTATTCGATTACCTATCGCTTTAAACGCGATTTTATAATCACAGTTTAGAAGAGAAATTGGCCTCCAATTTTTTAGAAAAAGAGGGTTTTTGTCCTTCTTTGGTAGAAGAGAAATAATACCTTGTCGCTGCGTCACCGATAGTAGCCCTTTTTGAAAAGAGCAGTTAATAGCATTCACTAAAAAGGGGACAATATCACTCCATAATACCTTATAAAATTCTGCTGGAAACCCATCTGAGCCTGGCGACTTTTTTGCTTCCATCGTCTTGAGAGCATTTAGACATTCATTTACTTTTAAGAGACCTTCACAGGATGCTTTGGAATCCTCGTCGAGCCGCACGAAATTGTCATCTGGGAAAAACCGGAGATTATCGCTTTCATTGTGTATTGATCTGCTGCTGTATAGTTTACTATAAAAGTCAACACATTCTTGGAGGATATCATTAGGGACCTTAAGATACCCTGGACGCGGCGGTAAAGAGAACGGAGAAAGCCTGGAGCAAGGACGCCGCCACCTCCGCGGGAAAAACAAATTAAGATTGAGCAGGTTCTTGGGTGGAGTGCTCGCCTGACGAGAGAGGATAAAGTAATGCTTTCGTGTTTTAATTCCATGACGTCTTTTAGAAAAACTCTTGAAGTCTTGCTTGATTGATACCTTAACGATCTTTTATTGGAAGAAACATTTGTGCTGCCTGCTATGACTCCAGTTTCTCTAAAAAAAAAAAAAAAAAGACAAATTTCTTCGAGGGAAACTTGAGGGTATGATCGGAGATCAGGTTATCAGCTATTTGTTGCCAGACTTTTTCGCTTTCCGTTGTTCTAGATCTTGCTTTAAAACCATATGGTTCTGTTATGAGAACTTCCCGTACTAAGGCGAGATTTTGATCTTCAGACCGCTCCATCGCTGAACTGAAAGTGAACAAAATAAAATTATAAAAGTTAATAAATGAACCATGGCGTCTTGTTCAAGATCTCAATTTTCTCCGACATGTTCAAGTTTATTACAAGCCTAGAATTTTGTTTTCCAACAATTTTTATTCGACTTCTCGTCTCTTAAATTTTTCAAATAAAATCCTAAAGCGAGAACGTTGTCCCCTTAAAAACAAGCAGTTATAGTGTTACATATGTGTCGAAAGACTCAGTGTTTTCATTCTCAGTTGCCGCCAAAACACTGAATCCAAAAGGCTTGATAGCAAAAAAATAAGAGTCAATCTTGAGAGAACACCACACTAAAAACACATAAATGTGTCTCTGGAAGTAAAAATGGATCGAAAATCCTGTACGAAAATAGTTTTCACCGTCGCGACCTCAGGTTGACGCTGTGGCATTACGCTAATTAGTTTCAAGAATTGAACATTTCACTTCCGGTTGACGTCCTCCTCGGCCGCGTCCAGAGTACCTTAAGGTCCCTACTACTAGCATACACGGGCTCTTTTACTAGGAATGGAAAGTTATGAGCTGGTGCGAACTAAGACCTTTCGGTAGTGCTCCTAATTGTTTGTACGATCCGGACGACTATTTGGTCGGGGCTCCGCTATAAACACATTTTTGAAGATGAAAAGCGATTACTCCTACTTTCTAGTTCCCTTAGAGTGTAAACTTACCTAATAAGACGAAAATGTGTTCTTGAATTCAGGAGGCCAGTGTTATCTCACTTTTTCCAAGAATCGTTCCAGATTTCTAATCAATCAACCACCGTACAAATACATTCAGTTTCACTTTCGACAAGCCTTCCTACTCCCGGGCGGCCTAGGGCGAGTGCTTGTTTTCGCGTCAAAGCGAGGCTAATACGGGTACCGGGTGCGGAAAATGAGGCTCATAAGCTCCTGTACAGGTTTAAGGTTTCGGTGGGATCCAAACTTACTTATTAGTTGTAGGCTTGAGAAATCATTGTTACAAACAGCAAAAGGAATATCAGCTCCTCGTCACCGAGAAAAACAACGAGCGAAACCAGAAATTGACCGAAAGAGTGGGTTCGAGAGCGAGTTCTATAAAAATGCGAAGATGATCTGAAAATCTTCAAAACATGGTAAAACCCTGAAGCAATTTTGATATTACTTTTTCAGTGATCGTTATAATTTGTTTAAGGATATCTTTCACTGAAATGTAGTAGTTGTCGAAAAATTTCAGCACAGGCGGCCCAGTCTCTGTGTGAGTTTGTTAGACTGACTTTTTTAAGAGAATGTATGAAAATAAGCAAAATACTTCCTAAATTCCATTTTTTGACAAAAATAGAAATAAAAATGACTCACCTCGTGGTTTTGTTTTGTTATTTACTCTCTTTGCTTCTAGAGCCATTTGGAAGCCGTTTTATCGCAGTTTAAGATTTTGAGTTGTACTAACAACAGGCCCCAGAGGTTGGCGCAGTGTCACGCAACGAGGGTTTGAAGTCATAAGAGACGCTTTTAGATAACTTTAATGTTCTGTAGCCCAATGTTTAGCCAGTTTTTATCGACCATCCTACAGGGCAAAAGAATATCTTGAGGATAATTGTGTTTGTCGTCTGTTACCTACATGTCCTTTACCTAGAGGTTAAGCCAAGCAATGTAAAAAAATACTGGACGCTCTTGCATTTTTGAGGAATAATGAATAGTAACGAATTGTAAAGAGGGAGGATAAACAATAACACTGATAGAAAACAGCTGCTGATATTCATATTGATAAAAGTGTTTGATTTTGATTTCTCAATCTTACAGGCTCATCGCCTGTTGCACCCCTTACGACTACCACGCACTGGAAAGATGAACAGTAAAAGGCTTACTAAGCTAATCGAATTAACTTTTGTCGATCAAAACAACAGGGCCATTTATACGAGGAAAAATAAGACGCCTCTTACACAAGACGCGTCTTAAATAAGACGCGAACTGTACCATTTATACCAGCATGTCTTACCTAAGACGACAACAGCTCGTATAAATGGTTCGCGTCTTATTTCTGTTCTTGACTCGTTTTCATGTGAATGTCGCCCGTAGCAACGGCAATCCAAGGTGGCCCGCCAAAAATTAACGCATGCGTACTATGAGTTCGCGTTCTAAAATAAGACGCGTCTTAGCTCAGTCGCGTCTTATTTTAGACAAATGTGCCGTTTATATGGAAAGTTCGCGTCTTATTTTTCCTCGTATAAATGGCCCTAATGTTTCACTCCCTTCATTTGTCCAAAGCGTGCCATACAAGATGACGCTTTGTATATGCCGATTGACTGTCAAGGTATTGTTAAAAAATACATCAAGGTCTTTTTGCTGCGCGAGATGGAGTTAGCTGCTTATCTATGGGGGACAGGGGGAAATAACCAACTTTTGCCGACATCTTACGGCTGTCAGATAGGAGGAGTTTGGGATTCAGCAGAAGTTAGTTCTCCTTTATAGATCGAAAGAACGAAGTCAGCCCACTATCTTGTATGAAGAGATATAAACTCTCTTTTAAGGTGATTTAGTACCATGTTCATAGTCGCACAGTGACGGCAAAGAAATGTACCAAACAGTGTGACGCACTGCAAAGTCGTTGTTTTGCTTATTCAATCACTAGGGCCTTTTTGACGTTTCCCTTGCCGTCGTCGTTGCTTGAGCTCCCAAGCAAATGAGATCTGTCAACTGGGGACAATAACAAAGGAAAGCATATTCCAGAGAGCAGGGAAACACATTATTTCAAGCTATTTTATTGCGATCTCTTTCATTACATCAATTCAGTTTAAAGTTATGTTTGCATGAATAAAAATACTGAGGCATTCTTCAGGCGGTTTTTATCAAGATTTGTTAGGTTTAACGTCCATACGTTTACGGCTTTGTGAAAACAAGAGGTGTTTTTCTGGTGGAAGCAATATTTCACTTAGGAAGTAAGGCCAGGGTCTCGGAAATAAAACTGTCTGGATCTGGAACATCAGACAACAACCCTGAAAAGAAAAAAATGGTGTTAGGAGGTATTAAGTGACGCTGTAAGAAACAGTTTGAGAAATGCGTAATGTTCATTATTTCATGACAGGATTTCAACACATGATCGGCCGAGTCCCGTGGACGCTCTATCCCCACTGAGAGAGGGCGACATTCACGGTTACAATGCCAGTGTGGTGATGTAGAGACCACCATTGCTTTACAAGTAAGATACCGCCCAGGGTGTTCAAACCCCGCCGGTGAACTCTAATAAAATATGACTTTACTTGCTTGCCACGAAGCACCTACAAAGCGTTCGTGCATCGCAGATCGAATTGAAATTTGACAGAGAAAGGGTGAAGAAAAACCAGGTGCAAGAAAGAGAACCAACAAATTAATGGGGGGTAAATGCTGTTTACATACAGCGATGTTCTGGCCTGCGTTTATAAGTTCAAGACTTTTAAATATAAAGGTTCATCGTTTTACCTACATACAAAAGTACAACAACCGTCACCTTGCTATAAATAATGGCATAGTTTTTTTGAACGGATTTGTCTCATTTTCAATTTGGTTTGTTACTTCTTGTTTTCAATGTTTGGCCAAGACAAACTTTCTTCTTTGGACGAATTCTAATGAATTATACTTAGAGGGGCTGTTTATATAATACCGGAATGAGTTTCGTCCAAGAATGAATTTCGTACTAGTGTCTACATTCACATGATAAACTGATCGACTAGCTCAGTTTAAGGCGTTCTCGGCCAGGTGGTTTTCGCGGCAGACCAAACAAGCATGCGCCACTCGCGCCAAACTGCACGCGGATTTGCGATTTTCAAACCGGAACGAAGTTTGTTTTCAGTTTACAGGACACCAGAATGAAACTTCATACCAGAACGAGAATTTCATTCGGATTGAAAACCGGAATGACTTAAACGGGAACTAAATGTCGCTACTGTATCATGTAAACAAATACAGAGAAATATATGGAGATGGAATGAATTCGTTCCAGAATGAAAGTCATTTAGGCATCATGTGAATAGCCCCTAAGGACAGAGCAGGCTCAACAAGAACAAGAATCACATAGCACTAACCTGCCACATCAAACAACTCAGCAGCTGATTCTGAAGGCAACAGATCTGTTTGGTAAAAAGACAGAACCTGTCGAAGAAAACAAAACATAAGACTTTGCTGTAATCAGAAACATTTGCATGATTTGTTGGGTGTATAGTTATTCATACATGTGAAACATTCATGCACTGATGAAGTAAAGCACTGGAATCGTGTTTGGTGACGTAGCAAAAACACAACTTTGGTGGCCTGAATTTTGATACAGTCCCCTCTAGTCCGTGGTAAAAGGAAAACGTTTATAATTGAGTAGTAACATCTTCTTACAAGCGATACTGTGTGCCACGCGCAAAAAGAAAAAAAAATAAATAAATAAAAAAACTTTCCTACTGGTCGCTCTCTCTACATGGGTTCATCTGGTTTAGAGAATAAGAGTATGATCATTCATTTTCTTTCAATTCCTACCTGGTCACAACCCTTCAGCACCGTCTCGTCATTGTTTCGGATGTATTCCAGCATACCTTGCGGGCAGGCACTGTTATCGGCTGGCAGATTTTTCTGTGGAACAAAACAGGAGGTAATAACTATCGCTAAAAACATCGCAATGTATCTTAAACTAACGAATACATCAGGCATTTGCAAGCATCTATCCTGATCACTCGAACCTCTAATAATAGCTCTCTCTCTCAACAACTAAACGGTCACATTAATTCGACCCCACGGCTACATTCACTTTGGTTTTTACTCTTCTTCAATGGCCATTTACCTCTGTTCCAATGGTTGGTGGTCATTGTGCCAAGGTTCGGCAATAGTATTGTCTTTAGTTTTGAGTGATACAATCGAAGTTGCCTTGAGCGATGTTCTCGGAAAGCTGAAAACGTTTCCGCAACCGAAGGTGGCCGTTTTCAGGGGAATGCTTCTCATACGCAGAGAGTTCAAACGTGCCTTTGTCAAGTAGAGCTAACCGCTAACGAGAGATACTATGTGCATTCGCAGGGGTTGGATTTCAAACCTTCAAACAAGTTGCATGATCGCCTTGTTGAACAGCTGCCAACAGTTCACCCAAATATAATGAGTTGCAATTGCTTGTACGTACAGGAAGAGATCGGCACTTGTTGACAGAACGTTATATTTATGGAGTCAGCACATGTAGCTGAAGCAAGTCTCACTTACCTTCAAAAGCTGATGAAACTTGTCGATCAGCGCAAAGAACATAATATACGGTCGGTAAACAGAGAACAAAGCTGGGGTCATATCCGAGATCCTGTGTACAAATAGGACCAATGAATGGTGTATTACTAGACCTCTTCAAAAATATCCTTCGTCCTACTTAATTTGGCCCCGCCACTTCGTCGCCTCACGCAGCCGCGAAGAGGGCTCAAAAAGCTCGCTCCGCTCGCTCTCTGCTGTGAAAGTGAAATTCGATGGCAAGTCTAGTTCATTACTTATCTGGTACGCAATAGCATTAGCTGTAAGGGCATAGTTTCATGAAAAGGAAACTCCGGAAAATAAAGAAAATAAGCTCCCAAAGACATTACTGAACATTTCAAGGACGTATAATATTTTTATAAGCTTTCTTAACTTGTCACAGTTACAGTAATTCTTATTACAGCGTCCTTATTTTTACAGTATGACTAATCAGCATTACAGTTCATGTGGAAGGTTTGCTTGCGCTCTGTATTCGTAAAACGGGATCACTGATTAAAAATTAAATTAAGGATAGTCGTACTTGGAAGTTCCTGTTGGTGAGAGATGTCGAGCATGCGCAGTGACCACAAGCCTTTTAAGGTAAGTGATCTTTGATTGGTTCCACTGTTCCAAGGAGTAAACAAACAGCGATAGGACTGTCAAGAATAATGGACTGTCAACCTGCAAAAAAATCAACAAAGCAATTCACTCCGTTATCAAGTCAGTGGGTTGAAAAATTTTTTGTACGATGAGGAAAGTACTGCTTGGTTTGAGTGCGACAAAATGAACAGAAAAAAATTTGAAGAATAGTTGTTTAACAATTACATAGCGAGAGTGAAAATCTTTGAAATGAAATGGGTCTGGCCATTATTGTTCAAACGTTGGATAGCGCTTTCCATCGGATAAATCACCAGCCAGTGGATAAGCATTAGGGAAATCAGTCGCGTTACCCTGCAGTGGATAGCGATTTATCCAGTAGATAACATTATCCATCTTTTGAGTGTTAACGTTTAAGATCCAGCATACCTCGTACGATGCTTCAACCCATTTGTCAGGAGACATATCCAAGAAGGACTTGAGGGTTTTCTCTTCCCGACTCACCTGTCGCGTTCTACAAAGAAAGATAACACAGTTCTTTGACGTAAAAGTTAAAAATCAATACTCGCCTTTTATCGTTTCCATGCCATCAAGACGAAACGATTTTTTAGCGAATCACTCAAACACTAGCCAAAGTTTACTTCAAGGAAAGAAAAGCTGAGCCAACAGAGAATCTAAACAACCGCGAAGGTGACAACTGCGAAAACGTCACTTAGGAAGTCAATACGCGGTTTCACACTTCATTGCCGTTATTCCACCTCATTCAGTTTGTAAAAATGTTGGCGAATTTTTCTGGAGTTGAACTCTAAATGATTGTAGCTAAGTTCAGAAAGAAGAAAAATAAAGTCTTTCTCCTGTGTTCACTTCCTCCATAAAACACGATGTAAGGAAGTTTCACGTCGTAGTCGTACAACGGCTGCAAGGAAACGTACAAAACTCGTGATTGGCGTGGATTGTTGTTGTCATAGTTTGCTAATCTAAACGTAAAATTACTTTTTTGTTTTTGTCGTTGCAGTCGCCGTCTTCGTTGCTTAAGCTCTTTTATACCTAGGCACTGAAAATCTGCCAAATCTACCATTTAGGACAGCTACACGATATCACTAGGATTGAATGCACACTACACGCTCAGGTGCTGAATGGCCTAGTAAGTGGTGTGTGTGTTTTAAATACTCTACATTCAAAACGAGTACCCTTGAAAAAGAGACACATTGTCCACGGTCCCTAAGATGTCTTAATCTTGTATCGGTGAGGACAGATTTGCAAACCTTACGTGTTTAGTACGTAGAGGATCATGTGCATTGCGTAGGGAACAAATTTGATGTTTGAGTCTCGACCCCCTCCTCCAGTGTCTTCGCTAAACGACTTCTCAAAAGCAAACCGCTGTAACAGCAAGCGAAGATCGTGAATGGAGGCATGATATGTGGGCTCCAGGTGACCGGTGCACTCTTGAATATAACTGTTGTGTCTAGAAAAAAGAAACGGTCAAAAAATATGTATCAGAGCGGAGCAAGTCAAATAACGAAAGCGCTAGTCGAGGCAAATATAGAGTCGTAGGTCCCACGTGCAAGAAACTAACTGTTGACTACACCATGGAGTTTTTTGCTCTTCGATGAAATGTGAGTCCCTTATCATGTAATCATCGTAAAACTAAACTTCGGAACTGAATTCCAAATAGTTTTTTAACATGCGATGAACAAAACAATTTTAGCAAACCATTAAACAGGCCATTTGCACGATGACGTCTTTTTTACTACTACGACCAAAATTCATTCCGTTTTTCCTTTCATATTTAAATTTGGTAATCCAGTGAGGCTTCAACAACAAAAGCTCTAATTTGCACAAGAAAGCAAAAGCCTTAAGGATTCTGGTCGTAGTAGTAAAATGACGCCATCGTGTAAATGCGCTCAGTACTCTTTCACTCGTCAAATACCCAGTCAGCCGGCGAAGAAAAGATATGAGACAAGGGGAGGGAGGATAAGGAGGATAGCGGAGTGAATCGTGGAAAGGGCCAATGTAAACCCGCTTGGTCCCAGCATTTCATTCCATAACAGCAACGCAGAAAAATAAAGTGGGGAACATATCCTCACCTTGCCAAACAACTTGCAAATGCCGACTCGGATACCTGATGAAAAAATATATAATTATAGTCCTTACACGGTAAATATTAATCGAATGCACAAAAAAATGTAATAAAAAAACAGCTTTCGAATAGCCTGTGTTGGGTTTTTGCTGTTCCCTGTTTCTCGTGTTTCGCCGCTCAAGCACTGGCCTGAACGAGTTTCAAGTACGCGTGGGCATTAGGTCTCTGCGTCGGTTCGCCAAAAAACGCCACCACAAAAAAACCTGTTCGCAGGTTTTACGTTCGGGTTATCCTGTGTACAATGTTACTTGAGGCCAGGAACCGTCAGCTTCTGGTAAACTTACAGTTTCAAACATACAAGAAAGTTTGAAACATAACTGACTGACTTAAAGTTGCCCATTTATGTTTTACTAATTTTCGATCGCTACCAGAACGCTTCTAACATCAATCGTTTTGTTTAAAACGTGGCCACTATGAATGTCTAAGGCTCCCAAGGTTGGGATGCCTGTGGAAAGGTATCATTTTACCTGTGGTCCCCAGATTGGCAGCAGGCCATTACATTTAGTGTTGGCATTCTGAAGTGCAGCACTCTCCCATTCGTCACGGCCTCGGGCGAGTCTAGTAAAGAAAAACGATTACACAAGCCTGAATAACTAGCCCATAACAGTACCGACCTACCTAAAATCTACGAAATTTCAAAACCAAAGAACAAGATTTAAATAGTGACGAGATACATACTTATACAAAATACCTCATTTTGCAAAGGCTTTGACTTTTCAAAGTGACAATGTTCTTCTTTTTAATGTCACTCTAGATTATTCCATTCGCTCTAGAACCTATAAAAAGATGTTCTCATGGTGAAACTCCGAGTTAAAACGATAATAATCTCACCTCACAGCGGCCATGTGACAATCATAATGGACAATATTGAAATGGCTGACAGTACAGTAACCCTATGAAAAAATCAGGAGAATAGAAGCCATTAGCTTACAAAAAAGCTTCAAACTAGACAGAGGAAAAAGGAACAGTTTGTCATTTTTCAAGTTGTTGCCAATTTGTGATGGATTGCGCAAGCCTTTTCCCTGTTTCTGCAGTTTAAGAACCTCATTTTTAAAATAATGATCAGGATCAACACTACATAATGACGTACCAGTGTTTTTCGCTGTTTGTTTTCGAATTCCTCCAAAATACATCTCTTGGTGAAGGTGTAGATACCAAGTACCTGAAACAAATTCCAGTCTTCGATAGTTAGAAAACTACAAAGGTGTTATTTTGGTTCAAACTTACTAAGTTCTAAAATCTTTTTAAAGTACTATTCAAACGAGCTTGCAAAAACCAGATCGTTTACCAGGGAAAAATCTATTCGATGACCATTATACTTAAAGGAGCCATTCGTTGAGATAGAGTGAAATGTAATAAAATACCCTGCCGGTGACAAACAATTCAATGCAGCACCTATGAAGTCTGAACAGAAAAAGAAACAACGAGACTTAAAACATTTCTCCAAATACGAAGAAGCAAGCACACCTTTTGAGGGTGATATTTGTAGCCTTCACGGCAGATGCAACAAACCAGCCCAGACTCTTCGTGAAGTTCTTCCATCTCACGGAGTATGCTTGACGGTTTAGCGATTATTTTTCCTGACGATGTTGTCTGAATAAGCGTGGGATTAAATGATAATAATAAATCAAAGACATAGCAGAATACCAACAGGGCACTTACTCTTTGTTGTTGGTTACTAGATTGAACTGTTTTCAGTAAATTGACATGAAAGTCGCTAAGTTTACCACCTAGCTATATGAAATAGTCAAGTTTTTATCAAGCCATATCCGTGTCAAAGGACGAAAATGAACTCAATATTACACGACATGGGGAGAAAATAAACCCTAGGCTCAAGGCAAAACTTCATTCTCTTGGATTTGAGCTTTCTTCCTGCCACCCGATACTATCTGAAAGCCTGGAACATGCTATGGAACTACCTACCTCCATGCCCAGAGCACCAAGCTGTTTTTCTCTCATGGCCATGGCAAGTTTCTTCTTTTCCAAACGAGTTGATCGACGAACTTCTGACACCTATAGAGAACACACGGAAAGCAAATGATTAGAACGGGGATGTACTGGCAACATTTCTGAACTTTTCCTAGGGTTTTTATTATTTAGTGTGATGTACGAAGTGCCCTGGCTGATTCTCATTTGCTGGTGAGGGCACAAAGAACATCTTAACGTCTGTAGTTTGTCATTAACGGGGAATTTAATAATACTTTTCGTATTATCGGAGTAGAACAGCGAGGTATACGCAAGGTAAGAGTTGGCTAAATATATAGAAAAAATTTGAATTCCCTTCAAATAACTGACAGTTCGTCTACTCGGTTGGATCTACTAAAATCACCTTAGCACGCTGACGCGAGGGAGAAGTGAAGAAAAGGAAGCCATATCGGAAACGCCCACGCACAGGCGCGGATATTACACAACATTTGCTTTAATAGCTCTAAAAATCAGCTGACCTTTTTCTCGACGTCAGGATGGTCTCTAAGAGCTTCCAGAAGATTCTCTGCCAGTGATCCGACCTTCTCTTCTGTTGATACCTGTTCCAGTCTATGAATGGCTGGTACTGCCGACTCACCAACAAGGACCTGCAGGTAAGACAGTGCCGGAAAAATTAAAAGCAAAATAACAGACGGAACAGTGAAGTGTGATAGTATCGTGTAAGTCGACAAGTCCTCTCAGTTGACTCATTTTTAGCCAAAACGGTTTTCACAGGACTCGGTCACGTTATGTTCATCATCAAATGTTTGCCTCATCATCATACAAACTGAGACAAACGCCGCTGTTTTTAGTCATCTTAGGTCTTGTCATCCGTATTCACAACATCTATCAGGCGAGGTTTTTTTTACAAAAATCTTAGTTTTGACGGTATCGAGGACTGCCGATGTAGAAGCAACCTATTAAAAGTATTGTGGCTTAGCTAACACGTATAGCGCGGCTCCCATCGGCGTACTTTAAAAAAGATCACAGTAAAAGAGTACCTGTGTATTACTGTGTCCTTTACAGAGTCCAGACAACAGGCGCAAAACATAAGGAAGGGAAGGACGCGCTAAAAATTCCTTCCACACGTCAGCTTCAAGCAGGTTTGCCTTGCTGCAAAGAAACAAAAATTACCTTCAGAAAAAAAAAAAAACAGGCCTTAATGGACAGCAAATCTCCTAGAGCTAACAGCCACTGACCACGGTTTTATCGCAGGCAAGAAATACTTTAAGTTCAGCAAATAAGCGAATGTTTAGACGTTTAAATCTGGCACCGCCGTGCCCTCACAGTCGCAGTAGGGTACCTAATGTAATGACGCGTTTTAAAGCTTTGCCTTTCTTGCAATGAAGATTTTTTTTTCTGCTAGAGCGGCGAAACTGTTTTGCGTAAGTTGTTATTCTACAAAAATATATCCCACACTAACAACAGGTGTGAAAAGGTTACAGAAGCGCCAAATGACGACGATGAAAGCGGATTTCTTTTCGAAAGCAACAAAATCACGCTCGTTTGATTTCTTGTTTTCAAACACCGGAGCAGGCGCATTGGGTGTGACAACTCCTTTAACGCATAAAGAAACTACCACACATGAACAAAACAACAAAATAGTAAATTAAACTACAACAGACTGAGTAGAAGCTGATTTGTACCTTAAGGGCTTCTGAGGTGTTTGTTTTTCTAGGTACGTAATTGCCTTGGCAACAATCCCATTTTCAATTATCATTTCTTTCAGCTTAAAACCATTGTGGTTGTTCTGTTAAAATAAAATAAATTAAGAACAGTTTAGAAGAGATTCTCAATGAAGCAACGACAACGTGATCACAAACCAAGCTGAGGACAAGATAGACATAAACAGATAAGATAAAGACAAAAATCTAAAATAAACATTCAAGACTATTTTGTAAATTGGGTCTAGGACATTACTAGAACCCCCGACAATGTGTTTTAAGTAAGGAAAGCAACATTTATATATCAAGGTTGAACCGTCTGAAATCCATATTGGGTTGTATTTTGTTGAAAGCCTTCAAAACTGGTCTTAGCGTTAACGATAATATAGTGCAAATCCTCAAAAGTGGATGTAGTACGTCAGTACAGGATTGATCAGAAACTACACAAAAAGGCTTATACCCTAAATTAACACATCTGCACAAAGCTTACCTCGATTTTGCTGGCTATGCTACAGAAGCAGTCAAAAAAGAGAACTTCATCATTTGAGCGCTCACGGTCAAATCTACAAAGGCAATAAGAAAAACATCAAGATTTCTTAACCCCCAAAACAGTTTGTAATAATGACATCTTCAATCAATCACCCATCAGAGGCACAGTCCCTAGGTTAATTACACTTCAAAAGACGGACACTTACTTCTCAAAGTCCAAGTAAGGCAGAAAGTGGTTCACCAATGTCCGCATGTTTTCTTCGTCACCGAACGTGAGGAATGGGATTATACGCATCATGGCTTGAAGAACACTGGTGTGGGTTCTCTGTAAATTGAACATCAAGACGACCAGTGTCAAGACGATTGAAGGTAAATTGTAGAACAGGTAACTGTACGATCTCACGTTCACAAGTGTATGTAGCGCGTCATTTCAATCTTCAGTACATTCCGGAACTGTAAAAGTCATTCATTCACTAACTGTTTATTGGTATAATACATCCTTGATTTCGGAAAGGAATACATAAAACTGTTTCAAGGTTGAACACTGAAATGCCTTTACTTTCATAGCCTCTTTCATCTTGATGTTTCTCTTTAGTGGACAGCAAGAGGTGTCTGTATCCACTAACTGCCCACTGTCTATTGTGCAAGACTTGTCTATTGTGCAGATCACTCAACCCTTTATTTCAAATGGTGGCAAAAGAAAAAGTTCACGAAACATTCACAATCTGTTTGAACAAATTGCAAAGAAATAAATGATACCGCGCAAAAGTTGTGCCACAGAGGTTTCATTTGAATGGTAACAACAAAGGATTTCGCCCCCAGATTTCAAAGTAAGAATGACAAATAATAATGCCATAACTTGTTCTAGAAGTGACAGGGTTAGTGTCTATCAAAGGCAAAATGCAATAACAATTCCAAAATGATAACGAGCGACGAGCATTTGGCTGTTATGCAAAAACTACGACTACTGTACCACATAAGGGCTTGTTATTCTGTCTAGCAGCATGTCTAGTTGAGATCCATCGCCCTGTTGGATGGGTATCTCTGGGGTGGGTGTACTGGTTGCCTCTTGTAGTACAGTCTCCATGATACCAAGCACGTCTTCTGCTACGCTGGCTCCACCACCTGAATCAGCCTCAAGCCGAAGAGCCTAAATAACAGCAACAGTCGGTATTATGGCTTACAGTTGTGAGAATATTGTCACGTAAACTGAAACCCTTCACAACGATTTTCTCTTCTTTCCCTTTTTGCCCACACAACACATGTACTGGTTTTCGTATCTGAAAATAAACCTACCCAATACCTCAAAACCGACAAGAGGGGTTCACCTTTAAATTATGTGCTGTGTGAGCGGCTATGTATCCTCATATCCATGCAAATATTCCTTGCCCACGCCAAGACCTTTATTTTCCATGCTTGCTCATTGCCAAGAAACGGCCACACACTAAGTCATGAGCACAAACAAAGGCTTTAAAGCGGGGAAATGTAACTTAAAGCCACGAATTTCAACCGGTCAAAAATTTATCCGCTACTGTGTGAACTTAGCCTTGGATACAAAGCGTTTATTATGAACAAATAGTCTGATCAGGTATTTAGACCCAATTCTGTTTTCTCCCGTTTAACAGGGACGCGACCTCTGTATATCGTTGAAGTCGTGGCCACGCAGTCCCCGGTTGCCATTCTAGAGCAGATGTCCGGGAAGTTTACAGTCTTGTGGTTTAACAAAACGATTCACAGTCAACGCGTTGAATGGAGAAAACAACACTTGTTTATGAAGCAATGAGGACACAGTTATTCTTAGCCATACCTGATTTAAAGTTCCAAGCAAGACATTGAGCGTATTCAAATTAGGAAGGCAGAGGTACTGCCTGTTGACCTGCGGAAACATAATCATCCTTTTAGCCCCAAGACTTGAAAGATTAAGGACCCACATGTGGGACGAAACTTTCTCACCGACTAGCAAACAAGTCTTCTGCTACTAAAGTCTTCCCGCCGCAATAAAATCCATAATTGCTGAAGAATGCACCTTCGAAGTGGAAGCGTGCTTGGACTGAATTTCGGTGACTGATAAAGGTATAATTACCCGACGTACTTTACAGCCAAACAGAACTTGTCGTTTGCTATTCTCTACGCCGAGTTAGCTTGTTACAAGTAAAATCTAGCTTGTGGTCTTATCTGAAAGCAGATACTCTCGCTAAGAAAATTATTCTTCAAAGGCTAATGCCACTTTACTATATTATTACTGCCACGACCTCTTACTGAATATTGACACAGTATGGTTACAGTTTTTCCTATCGAAAGTTCATAAGCTTGCCTGAAATTTCCCTCCCCGTGAGCGGCTCAACGTACTGTAATAGAGAGATTAGGGAGCTTAAGCAGCAACGTTTTTGAGCGACGCACGTCAACCGGAAGTGGCCTTTTTCAAATTTTGACGGTGGTTTCGCGCAAATTTTCAGTCAAATCGCCTCCATAACAGTAAAGAAGCTAAGGAATACAAATTTTATATCATCAAGGCATGTTAAGAGGGAAAATACCTCACTTCCGGTTGACGTGCGTCGCTCAAAAACGTCGCTGCTTAAGCTCCCTATTATGGCAAACGGCAAACGTGAATTTGTACCACGTGACCAAGTTTTCTATCTATCTGTGGTTTACTGTTCATTATAACTAAACCATAAGAATTGTTTTAAGCTGTTTATTACTCATTACTCATTCTGACAATTTCTCAACTTGAATCTCACGTCTGCCGTTTTCCGTAAACGCGATTATGCTTCATCTCTCTAGTGTGGACGACGTCAGGGAATAAACAAATAAAGATGATTACCTTAAGTTTCACACAATATCCCATTAGCTTGAGAATGACTGACACCAACTGCTTGCCTCGTACGAGATCCTTAATACCGCTCAACCTTTAGATGACAACAACAACAAAAATTTTCGTTTTGCTTGAGACTAAAACAAAAAGATTTTGTAAAACACTTCTGAATTCTGCACTGAATAATTTGTTGAATAAACTTCAAGTACGATATCAATCCCGAGCAATTCTTCTCTGCGACTTTGAACGTTGAAATGTTTAGTTTAACAACCGAATCGGGGCTCTCGTGGCCAGGGTTGAAAACAACAACACGCAACGAGCTAACAAAAAAAATTGCTGGAGTAAACGGCAGCATTAAATGTCGCCCAACGTCAAGGAATGTTCTCAACTTGTAGATTATTGATTCTTTGGTCACACGACCTTTTCTCTAAAGAGAGCCCATTCGGTCAGTGAAACACAAGAAAGGCTGAAATGTGTGCGTGATATTATTTCCCTTCACAAATGTGCAAAAATAGCGGCTAAATTCCGTAAGACAGTATAAAATACCTGTCAAGCATGGCTTCTAATCCACCAGAACTTGACATGATAGAGGCCATCTTATATACTTCTTCATCGTCTTGCTCCTCTTCTGTAAAGACAAATATTAATTTCATTAAATGGTTCTTTCCTCCAATGCAGTAAAGGCATAAAATGGGATAAAAAGAAAATGCATTAATAACTAACCTTGCTGTGTATCAAGATTCTCCACAAACTCCTCAGTGGCATCACCCAACAAACCTAAGCGAATCACACAATGTCAACATTAAACAATAAGAAAGGGTGTCTACCCTGTTTCAACCGAAATCTATAATTAGTGAGGTTCACTGGTTAATGTATGTAGAAACTGTGGCTATTTTTTCAGTATGACAGTCATTACTGAAAAATGATAGACCGCAAAGGCATTATTCTGACAATGAGGTCAAGCACAAAGCGACTAAATGGCTAGCCTTCCAGCGTTTTCTCTTGTAGTGGAGCGAGCAAAGTAGCCGCAAGAGTTCTGCGCGGTCGGCGAAAGCCGTTGCGAAATTCTGCACGAAATCCCAACACAAGAGCTCACTCTTAGAGTATAAAATGACTGGGTTTCACATCCCAAGATAATTCAGCACGACAAAGAACTCAACAACCTTTTCCTTCTAATTCTTACCTCTCATCCTGTAGATGATCCTCATTGGTTCACCCTAGAAACAATTTTTAAAATCAGTATAGATATTCATTACAACATCGTGACTGGCCTCCTGCATAACGCATGCAGCCAAAATAATACGATGGATAGCTGACAGCTCTAGGTGTCCGTTTTATGGAGGTGTTCGTTAAAAGAGAGTCGACTGAAGTCAATACAAATACCATTGAAAGGGCGTGTCTATCTCATAACAAAGTAACAATCACCGCCGGACAAAGAAACAATATTACATGCAGTCGTTCTGAAAAGGTTACGCATGATCCTACGATCCAGAGATGTAACCAAGTGGGTTTTCATGCCAGTGGGGAGCAGTTCATTTGCATTTTGTAAGTATAAGATAAATAAAAACACACCTCTCCTTCTGGACACCAGATTTTCTTGTAAACATCCTTGACCGGCAGATCCAGACTGATGATTTTGCTGTTTACAAGTAACTGAAACAGAAATAAGATGTTATTACTACCCACTACCAATCCTATAGACAAGGATTAAAAGAGAAGTTACCTCCATTCCGCTGTCATCCTCAAGCAACGCCACCAACTCACAATCTGGAGAAAGACAGAATGCAATAAAAGTAGCTTTAAATACCCGTTATACGGAGCACTGATGGGGAGAGAGGGGGGAAAACAAGCGTACCGTTGGCCTTGGGTTTGTCAGTCTAATGCGTACTGTTACGAGTTTAATACCGACGTAAAATAAAAACTTTTACCTTTCCATTTAAGTGAACTCCAGCCTTAAAGATCTCTTTGGACTCATAGGTTGTAACTAAGCAGCCCATTCAAAATGTTTTAGAGACTACAATAATCGTCACAAATCGTTGAAACAGGTACCGTTTCTCTTGAATTTCTGGAAAAATCCTGAGATTTACTTCTCACACCTTTCTTCTCACTGAAATGTGCCCTCTCCCTCCTCAACGTTGAGCCACACGCGTATTTTGAAGCACTGAGACCACTGTAATACCCAAATCACGTTGGGAAAGGGGAAACGGACACAAGGGTTTCAAGATTTTTGAGCAGTATTGTGGATAACCAGAGTAAGAAGCAGTAAAGGCCTTTATTGGTTATTTGTGTGGTTTTATATCTAAGTATTAAGTAGTATTACATTGCCGGCTGCTGGGTAAATTTTAACTGGGCATAATAAGGGCCCTTACCATTAGACAGAACTGGGCGGCCGGATCTGGCCATTAGGAAAGAGAATTCCATTTTCAATCAGACCTGTCGAGGCTCCTCCTCGAAGTCCAACCTTACTCTTTTATATTCAATTTTTAACAGAAAAGGAACCCCTTTCGTATACCTTCTGTAGACAAATGGTACCCCATTCACGTACCTAGTCTACAACTTTACATCCCTTTTGAATGCCGTAAATGCACATTCTTTGAATTAATGTGAAAAAAAAAAAAGCACAAAATGAACGCTTTCTCGATTTTTTTACAACCATAAAATGCATCTGTTCCTTTTGGGCCCTTTTGCCAACCGAAATGACAGATTTCCCTACCCTTTAATATACTTCAACATATGAAATCCCTACCCTTTCATTTACCTGAAGCCTGAAAAAGGTACCGGGCAAAACTCTAGCGAAAAGCCTATTTCACTTTCAAGACGCATCAGCCTGACAGGCCAGTTCTGACTTTTGGTAAGCGCCTTGAGACTTAAATGTAAAGAAAATCATCGCAGTTACGGACGGCACTAATGCAGTTACGAAAAGCCTCACAAAAATTCAGGCTTGCCGGGATACCGGCCTAAGCCTGTGGAAATTGTGTCCCGTCAATACACAGTGATGACTTGTGGTTTATCAAAGTATTTTCTCACCAGTACATATCTTGTTCTTGACATCTCTCATAAGCGGGCCCATACTAGGCTCATTACAGCTGGGGAAGACAAGGAAAACATAGCACAGGTATAAGTAACCTCTGGCGCGCACTACAAAAACATCCTCTAAAGCCTGTACACTCAACTCTTTCTTAAGACAGACATGTCTTACAGAGATGTCCGTTTTAGAACGAGTCAAATAAAACGACTAAAGAGAGGCAGGGATCAAATCTAGATGTCCGTTTTTGCGAGGTGTCCGTTAGCAGAGACTGTATAGCAGTCGTTTCCTGGTGAAAAGATAAATAGGGTGTAAGGGGGTGCGAAAAAACAAAAGGAACACAAGTCCGTGACATGTTGGGATGTCTCGTTAAGAACTCCTTGTTTTTCCATCTGTTATTTCTCATTCCAAATTTTTAACTTGGAAAATAACGAAACCGCTTCCAAGTTATTTGAATGAGTGATGAGTGAGGAAATTTATCCATTCTTAGACTTCCGATAAACCTGTTCCCAGAATCTCAGTTCTCGTTTTAAAAATTGATGGAAGCAGGACAGAAGCCCCTGGCTACTAACACCTGAAAGTTTGTCAACCATACTTCTCAGTATTTGATATGCAACAACAACAACAAAATAACACAATACCTTGTGTTTGACATATGATAACACTGACCTGTAGGGATTTCCTTGCATTCGACCTTGAAGAAAATCTTCTTGTTGAGGATCCTTTTCCAATGTCAAGAAAAACTCACCAACATCATTTTCCTCCTATAAATATAACGGCAAACAACAAAACATAATTTAGAAACTAGAAGAAGCAGTGTTTGCAATTTCCACGTCCTCGATTCTCTGAAAAAGAAAATAAATGCAAAGACGTGGATATCACTATTACTTTCAAAATCTCCCAATAAGAAGTTTACATGACGATAAAATTTGGAAATATAACAAAAACACTAACCGGGAAAATAAGGTTGCAAAGACGCTCGAAAATGAAGACTGGAGTTCTGAGGTCATCTAATCCGTACCTGGAAATATTATTGACAATAAATCATCAGCTGTGCACCTTTCTACGCGATAAAACAACTTCGTTACCATGTTCTTCGCATACACTTTGTATCAGCCAAGAGCACACCAATGAGGCGACGTGCACTAGGCAACATTCAAGAACTATACAATTCTTGTACTATTTCATTAATTGGTAAATTGTTACTCTCGCAGTCGATCAATTTAGGCCTCTGGGAAACTGTCCATCCGCCTCCTACCCCAACGGGTGTCAAGTCTCCATGAGTCACAGTTATAATAGTACTGAGAGAAAAAAAATCGCAGTTAACCAGTTTTAATAAAAACTAACAAGCATTACGTGGACGTTTTATAGACTAGAGTTAAAGGAAACAAACCTCTTGAGAGTCTCCACACAAATGGCCATGAATGCCTTGGTTTCTGTCTCAGTACCTATAAAACAGATCGGAGGATAAGTAGTGTTATTCTTACATGGGGTAAACTCACATAACGAGAAATAGCAAAGTTGGTATGATCACTCCCTCTTTCCTCACCACACATCGTTTTGTCCATCTCTTGATAATGGTTATCAAACAATTAGTCACTCCAATTAGCCATTGTCACTTAACAACGTAGTCTTGGAACTTTAACTTACAAAAAACGAACACCGTATTTATGTAAAATCAAATTAAAATAGTAAGACGTACCAGTGGTCATCTCCTCCAGCAGTTCTAATAGAATCTCCTGGGTCTCGTCAATCAGTTTAGTCCGCTGAACTACCAATCTATAATGACAAATTCACATAATCAAAGTCAGTATAAATCGAAAATGAGGGCAGACAGACAGACAGAAACATAGAACCTTACGGTTATTACAGTTGGGGTCTTGAAATGAATAAACAGACTTTAATCACCTTCGCAAAGACAAGTAACCATTTAGCACTGTAGCCACAAGTTTTCCCTTGAACTTCTGTTTGATTGCTTCATGCTCCAAGAAAGAGGACATCAGTTCTGTTAAAAGAAAAAGAAACAATGAGCAAGTTCAAGCAATAGACGTTACAAATATGGCCAGAGAAAGAGATGCACAAAAATGTTTCTACCTTGTAACGATTGATTTAGCTGCCTTGAAACACGGAGAACTGAGCTGGGTTTAATTTGTTTAGTTTGTTTCACTTACCAGCCAGCATTTTCAAGGCATATCCCTGGGACAGATCAGAGCTGAGTGTGTACTGCTCTAAATGGGTCAAGTGCTCTATTTCCTGCAAAATAAAGAAAGTTACTACATGAGCCGCAAACTCCGAGAGAAGTCCAGAGCCAAAACTGGGCTTATTTTTTGAGGTGATGCATCGTCTGTGCCGTCCATGCGATCTTTTTCAATTAATTAAAATGAACAGATTGAAACGCTTCATTAACAGTAATAACCCGATAACTACTTAACATGACGCAGCATCAGTACACTGCAAAACTTAGCCAAGTGTGTGCCGCACCGTTAGGGCGATAGCACGCTTACACAGGAATCAAGGGGAGAAACGTAAAGTGCATCCATAGCAACGAGTTCAAGGATTCCTTGCGCCCGTTCTGACAACGCATTTCAAGCACTGTACCTTGGTTAACAGTTGTCCAATCTGCATCAATGCTCCCTGAAGTGCCAAGTAAAACTTCCAGTAAGTCGGCTGAATAAGCCTCTGGTACAACTGGAAGAACTCTGCCGCATTTTCTCCTGCACGACGCACTTCCTCCAAATAGCTGTGGTAAAAAATAAAAATAGAAATTACACTGCTATCAAAACCCTTTGGACGCTTCACGTAATTCCAGACATAACGATTACTTTTTCAACTAAGTTTTACAAACGCTTATGTTGCCTTCAAAGAATACAGCCTCAGCATTTAAGCATCGGCTTGACGGATGACCCTGTTAAAATGGTTACATTATGTTACGCCATACTACGATGTCTATGGATAAAATTGTTACGATATTAAAAAATTCGTCAGTTCATGTACATACCTAGTGAGCAGATCAAGCATGTTCTGTTGTCGACTGGGTATCTGAATACGACCAAAGAAAAAACAAATCTGAAGTACCAATACCAACTACTCTCAAACTGACATGAAAGGGCCAGTAGTTTCATCGCAATTTTGCAAAACAAGTGGCAGAGGCAATGCAATTGTTATTGAGTAGACTAATTACAGCTGATGTGTTAGCCTTGAGACAAGAGTTAAAGAGCTTCAATTCTCGACTTTACGTTACTGGAAATGACTTATTCAAAAATCTGGCAAAATATGACGTATAAGATGCGGTCCAAAGGTGTCACGGAACAGAAGGGGCATCTGCCACTGAACTTTATAACCCTAATACTCTTCATTAAAAGGAATAAACTTGAAGGTTTCTTACGGTACCACTGCACATTAATAATTTTGTAATATCAGCTACTGGGCTAAATCATTCACAGGTGCACAGAAACCTGTTTTAGCATAAATACCTGACACAGTGACTCTATCATGCTGCAGGCCATCTGACGAGCTGCTCTGTTTGATGGAGTAAACAGCACCTGCCTCAGCCATTCCTCCTCAGCCAGTTCTCCTTCTTTCTCTCCTGTTGATTCTGTCCTCTTGGTCCTTTCTCTCCACTTGCGGCCATACTTCTCCATCAGATGCCGCTTACGAGCTTCAGCGCGACTCTCTCCAGTCACCGACTTAGCTTCAGCGGACTTTTTGGGCGCTGTTGCTTTCCACTGAGAATAGGTGTGGCTCAAATCACCGTCCATCCACTGCTTGGCATTGATACGTACTTCGCTGTAGCCCTGCACTGAACTCAATGACTTACAGTCCTTATCCTTTGAGAAAAATAACGAATGATCAATATATACGCTCCCCATTGTTGATCTTAGCAGCATAAAGAGATTATTGTGTTTGTAAACAGCCCAAAAGGCTACGAGTCTGGGAAACTGCCCATCTACCCCTCCCCTAAGCCAACATTAACACTTCTTTACCACTCAGGGCAAAATGTTGGCTTAGGGGAGGGGAAGGTAGGCAGTTTCCCAGAAAAGTATAATGATCCAGAGTTTCTTGGGTTCAATTCCCGTTGCGACTCATATCTTTTTTTTGTGCCACGCTCGTGACGCAATAAACATTTCATTTTCCTCAGGTATCGAATTATTTGCCGCAATCTCCTTTGAATTCAATAAATTTATTCCGGATTTGAAGGAAAAGACATCTGTGACGAGAAATATGAGTATAATAACAGGAACTACCTCGTGATATTTAAATGGAATCGGTGGCAGTAATTTTAACACACACAAACACACACAGACACACACAAAAAAACAAAACAAGAACAACAAAAAAGCACTTTCCTGTTCTTTGAAGCAGCAGAAGAAGCGCGAGGAACCAGAGGAAAGTTTGTTTTCACATAAAATAATACCCTTAAACAATTTAATAGATTTCAAAAAACATCTGCACATTTAGGGAGGTTACACAGCTGACAGCATGATGCATGGAAACAGTATAACTTCAGATATACCCTACCTTATTGGCTTTACTGCTGGGTGCAGGTGGCTTGACAAGTCGCAACAAGATCTTTAAACAAGGAACCGTGATAGTCTCCATGATCAGCGGACTCCGTACTTCAACAGACATCATGAAAAGTGTCATCACTGTAACAACAGACAATAAGGTTACTGAGATAAGATTACGTTTGTATACATCTCCCGTGTAAAAGTTATCGGTCTTTCTTTAGTTCATTCATTGGCTCCAACTGTTACAAAACTCTTTAGTGCACGTTCTTATTTATAATAATACACCGTGAATACACTACGTGCAATAGGTAAACTACCTAGTACGTTTTCTTTGAAAGTCAAAGATTAGTTGCGAGCAAAAAGGGACTCAAGAAATATCTTAATGAGGAACTGAAAGGGAAGCAAAAAACTTACCACATCTCAGACGCGTTTCCCAACAAGAGTCTTCCATCTCGACCGCATTGCTCAGAAGTAACATTTCACGACTGATTCCTGAAACCTAACCACAAAATGACGAAAGAGAAGTTAAAGAAATTCATTAATATGATTCGCTTGAGTTCAAACTAAGTTCGCACTTGTTAACAAACGAACGCTGTACGGTATGCTAAACAAAGAGAGAAGTTTTACTCACGACTGCTGGGTTGGATTTGTGACTGTTGACGGCCTCAGCAACTGCTCCGATCAGGATTTCATTGAGTTGAACTGTAGCATGTTCATTGTCCTTAGTCAACAAACACAGCAGATGCCGTACATCACTTCTCATCTGTGGCGTACCTTCGTGTAAGTTAAACTCTACCAATGCTTGTATCAGTCCCTGTTGGAAAAAAAAAAAAAAACCTTATCATACGGAACCACCACTAAGAGAAACAATCAAGGGGTTTGAGGGATATGAAAAAGGCGGTTCCACATCATACTCAACAATACACGCGTGTAGGAGGAAGTAGGGAGTTTTCGAACTCCCCATTAAGGACCTTGTTGACATGAGCTACTCAGAAGGAGTCACTGTAAGCTAAAAATTTTAAACAAGAAGTCTGACCTCTTCCACCAGTTGTTTGCGAGTTCCTGGCACCATAGCTAATGCCCGCAGAAGTGTGACACAGTGTTCAATTGCAGCCGATGCACAGCCATAGCAATTCCCCTTTCGACTGTTCACGCCAGCTGACAGCAGCAGGGATCCAGTACCGGCCGCAGTCTCAAGCGGACCTTTACTCTCACGGCAGTCATACTCCAGTAACTCCTTCCTAGAAGCCAGTACTTTCTGAAGGATGATGCAAATGAAAATAAACAATTAACGTTACAGTCCTTGAATTACTCTGTCAGTAGCTGCGAACAGTCCAGTGCGAAGTCTGTAAATCCTTAGCTGGATTCTTTGTGGTGTTTCAAAATGAAAATTGGAAATCTTCTTCTCAAACTTATTTTAACTACTGAATAGAAAACAAAGGAAATCACTAGTGCATCGGAGTTTGGATATTGCATCTTAATTGCCATAAAATATTACGAACTTCACCAATGAATTTCTTCACGAATTATGGTTTATTTTAGAAGGTGTATCAAACACTCCACTCAGCGTTTCTAGCAATATCAAGACACCTCGAAGTCGGTCTTAAAAACATCTGATACGCCCCGTTTTTAATCCACTTCTCGGTGTCTGAATATCGGATAAAACACTGCGTGTCGTGTTTGATACATTAATTCAACATTGACCTTGCCCCTTATTTAGACTGGGAGGGTTTAATTCAATGGATGGCAATTGTTACAACAGTATATGGACCTGCGTAATCTTGCTGAGCTCATCAAATGTTCCTTTACATTCAACGCAGTATCGATGAGCCAAAGCTTGGATCGCCTTGTTGACGCCAGTGTTAGCAGAAGCGCTGCTGCCTGTTGTACCAGAGCCTGAAACTACAGCCGCCATTGTTTGGGTTGTGCCAGAAATGCCCTCCTGTCATGCAAGTAATAAGTGATCAGTTTTAACATCCAACTGTAAATCACCATACATATGATTCAAAAACCAAATGCGTCACTTCCCATGAGATTAACAGTTATTTAATGGACAGATTTAAGAAACGTTTTGCCTAATAACAGACTGCAGTTACTAATGCTTTATTCACCACTGCATTTGGCAGAATAAGGTCCTACAATGATAGCTATTAGTTTTCTCAAGTGACAAAAGTAACGCAAGTATTCCTTCCGAAAGAACGTTAACAATAGGGGGTTACTCCATTATACTAGCAGTCAATAAAAACCGTTACAGAAGTATTTCAAAGTTTCCGCCAAAATTCAAATGCAGTGAATGATTGTGTTTGGCGTAGTATGTGTTCACCTGCAATGGTTCTTGTTGTCCATGCTCCAGTAATCTGTTTAGTAGAAGATCTAATGGCTGCCTGTGGGAAACGAGCTGACGATACACTCTGTCTGCTCGCTCCAACAAGGCGTTGATGTTGCCAACAGCCTAAAAAAAAAAAATGACGGATCACACTTCTGTTACCTAACGAAACAAACACAGCAAAAGCGAGAAGCTCTTGTGCAACAAGAAAATGTGGTGCAGGACAATTCGGTTGTCAAAACTCAGAGCTCGAACCCGATTCAGAACTCGAATGGCAAAATACACATGCAGAGTAAAGCAAAGAGCTTTGGTTTATCAACCTCCACCAAAAGGCGAAGTTTCTTCATTCTTTTAGAACAAAAGCAACACCTTATAAACCGTTATCGTACACATTTACACAAATCCACGGTACCCAGCAAATGACTTACTTTTTATTTCTCTTTACAGCAATCACTATGGGAAGAAAGTCAGGGTTGATCCTAAATAAAGTCTCCTTTAATGCTTGCAAACTCAAACCAAACACCTGCTTTGTTCATACCTTCTTACGATCCTCTTCATTTTCAATCGGGTCCACGGCACAGCATGGTCTGGCTGTCAGTGTGTAGTCAAACTTAGCATATTTGCAAAAACCGCAGGCATTGCACAGGAATGGATCTCTCTCGTCATAGTTTATGGACCTATGAAGAACAAACCATGCATCTTGCTTCAAACTAACATCGGCTAAAGAATGGACCCAAACACATCTACATTTGCCATTCACCTTTCAACGGTGACATACTGAAAGACTTTACCCCTTTAACTGTCGAAAGTTACTGCACTATTGGTTTACAAATGCAATTTTAGCTGTATTTTACCACCATCCAACGCATTTCTTGTCACACTCAAAATCGCGATGGAAACTCACGAGCACAATTTAGCGGCTATTTAGAGGATTTGTCAATGCAGATTGAGAATAAATTGTAATGACCAGTATTACACAACAATTGACCTAATGTTTAGAGTTGCTAGGAAAGTTGCATCCTCAAATTAAATAATTATTTAGAAAGAGGAAACAAAGACAATCATCACCGTAAAGAAGGGTTGAAAATCGAATATTAAACTACCAAACGTTTTGCCGACGTAAGCCATGAATTTCTTAAAAAAATGTTTTTCACATGAAAAGCTACATCAAATGCTCTTTAAGTGTTTCGTCATTAGACATCTCGAGTAATTGGCTGTGCGTCAACCCACATCTCGTTCTTTTGATATCAGATGAAACATTGCCTGTCAGAAACAGTATTTGACAAGGGAGAGAAATGGTATCAAAAATAGCGAGAGTAATCCGACCCTGGAGATAAACAAACCTGCACTTGTGACACTGATAAACGTTCTCTCCACAGTTGCTACAAACTCCAGGATTAGCATTAACAGACGCACTACAGCGGGGACACTGCAGAGTTTCAGATGAAGCCTACAATACAGGAAGCAAAACCCACAGTAAACATCGACAGGCTTGCCCAAGTCGTACAGTAGTAAAGTAGGTGCTGATTACTCCCTGTTTTAGACAGGAATGGCGTTTAAGGGTACATATGCGCGCCAACTGGCTCGTATGCCACGGAGAATCACTGAAACCTTGTCTGTTATGCGAACTTTTTTCTCGCCCAATTGATTCTTGGCGGGAAAGTACTTAAATTTGTTGCGCCTCCACAATTCTATTTTTTCCCAACAACTCAACCAATTTCGCCGAAAGAAAATCAAAATACTTGGGCGAATTCTGGCAAAGATGCGCCAATCGAGCTGCTAAATAGTTGCACAACACTTTCTGAGGCACATTGTAAAAAATCTCACCTGAAAGTTCTCATAGAAATCGGCATATTCGATCATCAGGTTACAGGCAACTATTGGCAGAGGAAAGTCGACCTGCAAAAAGAAAAGAAGAGATTTACCCACAACGCAAAGGTCTGCATTCCAGACAAAATGTCACATAAGATACTCTGCGATTCCAAACCTTAAGCTCCGTTTGGCCAGGAGTAAGATGACATTTCTTTGCTTTGTGCCACAGCGACCTCCTGTAAAACAACTCAATTTTCAACCACTTTCTACCAAATTAAACTAAAATCAACACACAAAGGTTGCCTTCTAGAAAGCTTCTGATATTCAGATAGAGAAATTTAAACAATCTGCCTACATGATGAACTCACTTGTTTTTAAGTTCCACAACTGCTTGCACCGTGCGATTGTTGTAGTACAAGTTAATGGTTCGGACCTGACAATAAGAGAAAAGCTTGTAGAATCATCTCTACAAATATAGTAACAGCCTAAAAAGAGGCATTTCTGTTTGAGTTATCACAAGAATTTGCTGTAATATTTTAATGATAACCTACCATTTTCTGCCGTTTAAGATCTGCAATCCTTAGTGTCACTCGTGAGATTGTGTGACTTCCGATCAGTTTTACAAGCTGACATGTGGTGGTGAAACGAGAGTCTCCTTTGATATTAGACAGCTTCAGGCTCTACAAAAGATCAATGGCCGGATGAGTATTTGCAAAAAATTCTGAAATACCTTAGGCTCGTCCATGCGATCAAACACAACATTGGACGAAAACCCTGGGCTTTCAAAGCATTATTTTGACCAAGCTATTGATAATAACATCAAGCCAGTAAATTAGAAAGAATGAAATAAAGCGATAACAAGAAAAGTAATGGCGCATTGAGCAAGCATGGTTCCTCATCTGTATTGTATATGCATTAGTTATAAAAAAAAATATCACCTGGAATGGAACTTCCGGGTTGTTACACACAAGGCAAGGATCACTCTCCAGGTAATAGCCATCAAACTCTACAAATCCTGACAACATCCTACAAAACACAGAGCGCAATGGTGTGAATTTTCGCCGTGCTATCTTCGTCACAGATTGACTTGCAAGTCTCATAAATATCGCAATTCTATACTACCGTTTCTGCAAAAAAGGGTAGTCCGTAAGACACCAGTCTCTCACCTGTATACATTGGAGTTCGGATGATTAGAAAGAACGTTATTCTGCTTCGTTAGAACTTGAACTGCTTTCACACAGTAATCCTGCAACTGCAGATATGCCAAAGTTAAGATGGACTCCAAAAAATAATTACGGCATTTTCAAACTACATTCACCAGCTAAATCGTTCTATAAGAGTTTTAAAATTTCACTAAGGAGACAACAATGAATGTAATCGAGAAGGTCCAAGAAAATCTTTCAGCATCAAGATGCTTCTATTCGTTCTCTTTGCTTCCTCCTCTCCTTGCTACAAGGATGAAGGGGCAGAAATTTTGGAGTTTTTGTTCCAATTTTGTTAAAGCGCAGTAGAAAATTTTTCCGGACCTTGAAAACTGCGAGTTCATCACAGGTACTACAAAGTCGCACATTTTACGTTCTGTACACTTGTCTCATTATAAATTGTAAACGGTTTGAACCCAGAAGTCATTTCATAAGTAGGTAGAGTATGATCGTCCGGGTGAACTTAGTCCTGAATAGGACTGTAGTTGACAGTAACTCACTTTTCGACAAACAGTGCGGTGGTCATTCATTATAAGTTATCAGTATGTTCACCCCAGTACAAGGGTTGTATTGGAGACGCTTGGCCCCAAGCACTTCAATTTAATACCAAATTAATTCACAAAACACTTGTTAGTACCTCATCAGTATTTGATTCACACTTGATCGTGAAATAACCCAAAAGATCAACAAACTGGGCAGCTCGCCGTCCATAGTCCGGTAAACATGGCCAGATTTTCCACATCATACTTGATAGCTTCACCTGCTGACTGTTGTTTGAATATCTACATATAAACAAACAAAAACAATAAATTATGAGCTGCTTTACACTATCTTGGACCTGCACCGCCACAAGAGAGCCAGCAGATTGGCAACCAATCCTCCTTACTGAACAAGAACATGAAACTCACATGGCAGGACATTCGCTAAGCGGGGAAAAGGAGGAAACAAACCCCGCCCCGCCCCACCATCCGCTCATTTTCGAAATCTGCCCTGGTTTTGACGGCTCATTTTCTTTGATGTTTTTTTTATAATTCTTGACAGCCCACTTCGATTAGCTACCGTAAAATTCCGGAAATAAGCCCCTCCAAAGATAAGCCCCTCAAACTCGTAACGCAAAAAACCCTCCGTTAAATCGCCCCTCCAAATATAAGCCTCCCGGGGGCTTGTACTTGGAAATTGCCCTCAAATACAAAGTAAAAGAAAGCAAAAACGATAAAAATTCCTTCCAACTGTAAGGCTAGCCCAATCGATTTTGAAACGCAAATTTCTCCCCGTAGATAAGCCCCTCCGAATATAAGCCCCTCAAAAAGGGCCTTTGAAAAATATAAGCCCCGCGGCTTATTTAAGGAATTTTACGGTATGCTAACTGCAGTTATATATTGTCCTTTTTAAAAACGGAATAAAGTGTTGTTGTTTATTGTTGTTTGTATTGTCCCAGAATACAAGTATATTAACATTTTTTTACAATTCTTAATTCAAAAATTTAAACAGGTGATAAACATACTTGTAGATGCTGTAGAGCAGCTCATGTGCCTGCCATCTCACAGCGGTGGAGTTTGATTCCAAAAGGAAATTCTGGACAAACTGACTCATCACGTCTTCATCGACAGCTTCGGTTAACAACTGTACCAGGCTTTGAGCAGCTGCTATGAACAAGAGAAAAAACAAGGCAACTCTCATCAATCGTTATTAATGCTGGCTTCTTAAAAAGAGGGTAAATCTGCATGTTTTTAATAAGCAGAATGTCCTTTTCTTAACCAAGCAATCGCACAGCGTTAGTTACATGTATCAGACAGCATAAGAGCTGATTAATACATTAGCTATATTAGTGTCCCCTATTAGTAGACCTTACATGGCCAGTTAGAAGACCTGACACTCAAATAAAGTTTATCATCATCCTCATAACAGATCGGTAAGAAGCAGTAACGAGCAGCACTGTTAGCTAGGTAACATCATGTCGCCATGTTCATGGCAAAACATCCAAATCAAGAGTGGGAATGCAGCAATACAAAGCAATAGCAACTAAATTACCTTCGCTTCTTCCACTGTCAGTCGAGCCTGTAAGAAAAATGAGACATAGTCAATACAACTTTACTCCGTCCTTAATTTTCACAAACTCTAATTAAAATGACCGAACAAGTTACAAGTATAATGTTAATTGAGCTCAGCAATTATGTCAAGAGTAGATTGAATATGATTATCCGAGTGAGTACAGTACTCAGTCCCGAATCGGACTGTTGTTGACAGTGACTGACATTTTGACAACCTGCGCGGAAGTCATTGTTGGACTCAGAACAAGTTACACAGCTACAGCGCTAGCCAGGGCCAACACGACCTTTAAAACAACAACAACAAAAAATAACAACCCACATATTTCCCTGAAAAGAGGTCTCCGCTAGCAGCGAACCCACATATTTGCATTCCGCAGAGTTTTTACGTGAAAGCCACACCTCTTCGGTTGTGCAGTGACATTTTAGCCACGAAAATACCTCAAAACTTTCCATCTTACCTGCTGTTTTGTCTTTATCTTTGTCTTTATCTTTATCCTTGTCCTTGTCTTTACTCTTTGACTTGTCTTTCTCCTTGTCCTTGTCTTTCTTACTGCTCTTCTGTGGTGAGGAAGATGGCTGTGACTTCATTTCACAGATGGCATAACCCAGAAGCTGTAACATCAGTGGCGTGACACCCTCCTCAAACAAGTAGCTGCTCCTCAACAGGAATGGCAACGTGTCTGCAGTAAACATTACCAGCTTCAATACAGTGAAGTGTGACGTATAGATTTCAACAACGCACGAAACATAAAACTGTTAGAGCCGTTGGCGTTTTTATAATACTGAGCTTACGCAACAGGACGGTAGAAAGAGGACAACGGCAAAACGTTTGAGTGAGAGAAACGCGACCGGACTATTGATAGCGTGTTTTATCGTAATCTTCACTTATCATTAACGTGTTCCGTGCTTTTACGAAAAGTTCTCTTTAAAGGAGGGTCAAGTTTGGCGATACAGTTTTCCAAACGTTATTGTCACACTTGTCACGCAAGGTTTGCCGTCTTCTTCCTCTGCTGTCTTATTGCATAAGTTCATTAATGATCAGAAGGGGTGTGTACCTTTTTCCTGAAGACAGAATGCTTGCCAGTTGCTTATACGACTTGATGCCACTTCCGAACATGCTTTGAGGTGTTCAATCTGGAACCAAAGCAAAATAATTATCTTAAATGTAATTACTATTGTATTTTTAAAACTTGCATCACATGATTCGGATTATGTGTATTGCTTGTGCAGCATTGTCAGTTTTTGAATCCCCCAAAATACACTCTGTTTGCAACCACCCCCTCCCCCCACCAATGTTGCGAGAACTGTTGTTTCCAAATGCTCCTGTCATTTTAATGTTGCGCCAAATGCAATCAAGAAAATTCCCCAGAAACAATACTTAATTGGTGCCTAAAAATGTCTATGCATTTAGCGCCCGTCCAAGCCACAAAATGTAGTCACGTACACTCATTTGTCAAGACTGAAGAATTCAGATCAGAGTGGGCCTCACAACACTTACTTAACTATGTCATTGGCACCCGTATCATGAATACGTTTAAGAGTTTATAACTTATCTAGTAATTAAAACCCAGTATCTAACAGCGGTACCTACCAAAGTAATAAGAGTATCATATGGAAGACTGATTGGTGTAAATTTGGAAACCTCATAACTGAATCCACCTTGTTCACTAAGTTCCCTGAAAAAGTATACGTAAACTCGTTAACTTCACATTGACAGGCAAGCCTTGCTTCTTTTGGCAAGCCTCTCAACAGACATTTAAAACGACCACATAAAAATTTGTCAATTACAGCTATAACCATCCAATTTCTCATTGGCATATCAATGAGAAAATGAAACGAAAAAATATACATGAACAATACGACATGATCAAATAAAAGGAATTTGCTTTATATTTTTGCAAGTTATCCCCACTACATCTATAGGAAATGACAAAGGGCAACACCGTACCCATCAGATGTAAACTGAATGCACACAGTCTTCGGGTTCAGCCAACTTTGTTTTACAGTAGGCCATGATAGGTTATCAGAGAGTGACCTCGCACAACATTGCCACTTTAATACCCAAATATACAAGAAGCTGTTTAGCCAAACAAGATCAAGCCGGTTCTTATATGTGGGTTACAGTTAAATTATGATAAACAATTTAACCAAGGAATGTAACTTTGATATTGTAAATTTAAGAATAACAAGAACATATGGTACCAAACTGTTATGTAAATTCTGTAATCTGTTTTGTTAGGGAAATTAAGAACCTAATTAGGAGCCGACTTCGCCTAAATTGCCACCAATAAGTACCGCAAAATACAAGAACTTATTTTACCAGAGTTAAAAAAAGTAGGTTCTTAGATAGAAAATAGTAAAGAACGTGGGGTTAGCCTTTTGTTTTGCTCAGGGTACTTGAATACGCAAAAAACGGAGGAGGTTCTTAGACGCAGGTTTTTTACTGTAATTAACTAAGTGTACTGTTTACCTGACCGCCTTCATGTGAGACTTGAGAGCATGAAGGTCTCGCAGTCGGCGATAGCTCTCTTTTGATCCACATAGGAAAAGTAACAGCTAGATAAGAACAGGAAAGAAAAGGAAGAAGAAAAAAACATTAAGTCAACAACTACAAAAACTGCAAAAATTCAATGACTTGTAGAGGAAGAAAAAAAGGACGTAAAGTTCGATGGAGGCTTTCAAGAAAACTAAAAATATTGCGCGAAATCGCAGATTTTGCTATTTTTTCAACGATATTTTATCTCAGCGTGAAATGGATAATGAAGGGACAACGAGATAAAACTCGCGTGTGTTTTATGTACTAAGGAAAACACTACTAAGCCACGTAATTTGCAAAGCTCGCGGAAAAGCACTGTTTAGCAGGTTCTTGGAAGGCCTAAGAGGAGCATTCGAGCGAGGTCAACGAAACTATGAAATATTACAAAAGAGCAAAAAAGTAGGAAAATCTCGAAATTGGTCAAATCAGTTATAGAGACAAGGATAGTTTAGAAGAAAGCCCTAGATGAAAATAAAAAAGAAAACAGACAAACAAACAACATCATCATCATGCCAAAACAAACAATCAAACAAACAACATTACTGTAAGTCGATGTTCACACAGAACAATACAGTTTACAGCAGAACAAAAGAGAAAGCAATACCTTTCTGACTTGTCGTCGGACAAATGGCGTTTGCTGGATTAAAAGATACTGAAATGCAAAAAAATATAGACGTTCAAAGCTGAGGAAACTTCCTCTTATTTCAGAAAAAGTTTAAAATAATCCGCCTGTTAAAGGATTGTTCGAAAAACAAAACATGCAACTGGTTCACTATTTAAGAAACTGTGTGCCCTCAGAAAAAAATCGTTTGAAAAAGCAGGTGAATATCCCACTTCATCTGTTTGACAGCATGTTTTTGTTTTAATAAGACAACATAGATTCCTCTGTACACTGACCGAAGTGAAATGTAATCATGTAGAACATACCTCGCATAAGAATTGGTACCATTCTTCACCAAACTCTGGAGAATTCTCAAGATGAAGAGAATCGGCGACTTTCTTTACCTACAAATAGTATATTTTACGCGCTCAATATCTCTTAATATAGTAACACAAACGAATTATACACCAGCGTAAATACCAGCTTTACTGAATTCTTAACGTAACTAAAAAGTCACATTAGGGCCATTTACACGAGGAAAAATAAGACGCGTCTTACATAGTTCGCGTCTTAAATAAGACGCGAACTTTCCGTATAAACGATTTCGTCTAAAATAATAAGACGCGTCTTATTTTAGAAATACCTGTTCTTAGATAAGACGCGTCTTTACTGTATAAATGACCTTTAAGACGCGAACGCATAGTAATGCGTTAAAAGTCAAGAACAGAAATAAGACGCGAACCATTTATACGAGCTGTTCGCGTTGTAGACACGTCTTATTTTTCCTCATATAAATGGCCCTATTGTAGACGTTTGTGATTTCTGATGTCTTTCCCCCCCCCTAACATGAAACACTTGCTTTACACTGTCGTCCTTGTTGAGATAAATAGTAACTGTAAAGCCGGCAAGAAAACAAGGGCTGGGGTTTTTGAGTGAAGGCCTATAACCTCATCTACAGAAAAGATGTAATTCTCTTATCTGGTTTATGCTAACAAAACTTTAACGTTACAGCCTTGGCCTAGTGTACCATCAAACTACATGTAAGCAGTCGTTAAAACGGTGGTCTGAAAAGGGGGCGAATTAAAGATGGCAAAAATATTTCAACCTGGTATGGGAGCCTCAACGCCATTTCTGTTAACAACTGTGGATAAGCTTCAAACACATCTCCTGCATGGCCCTAAATAAGAAGAGTTTCATATTAAATAACCAGTTACAAAGCACTATATCAGGTCTCAAACTTGTTCACGTACTGGAATGACAAAAAAATCAAGCTACAACGCCTCTTTCTAACATCGCAGAACGAAAACATCTAAGAAAGAGGTCTGACGGGCTTCAAAACCGTAGCAATTTATTAACTATGCTTGCACCTACCTTGACATACTGTCTAAGGAAGAATGGTGACATGTCTGGTGGGGGACTTGACGGCTGGGGTTTGAGTAATGATCCACCAATACCTGATGCCTCCTCCTGTAGGTATTAATTAAAACAATTTTCACCAGTGTGAGACTTTAACCAAGAGGGAACCAACAACCGTGGCGAGATAACTTCCCTCAAACTCAAACTGTCCTACATTTTCTTCACCATAACATTTAACACATATTTAACTTCTTGGGATCTGGAGGTCCGCGGTTCAAGCCTCGCTCGTCACTTTGGATCATTAGACTTGGAACATTTATCCACTTTGTCTCTCTTCACCCAGGGGTATAAATGGGTACCGGCGACATACTGCTGGGGGATAACCCTGCGATGGACTAGCATCCTATCCAGAGGGAGTAGCAATACTCCTAGGCATGCTTTACGTTAAAGAAACCGGGATAAGCTCCGGCCGTGTGGGCCTTTGGCTGGTGTGCGCCTTTACCTTTTCACCTTTATAACATTTAACAAAGCAAATAATCCAGTTTCTATTTACTCAGAGAATGCATATCATTAACTACTTAGTCAGAAAGCCTTACTTCTTCGTGGCTGGCCACCTCTCTCCAGTGCTCCAAAAGAGTTTTGAGAATTCCCAGACAGTTGGATGTGATGCCAACATCGCACAATGTGGCTGCTGTTTGTCTACATACTAACGAAGACGACTGTAAAACAACACGAGTCAGTTTGCTACTAAGTAAGTTTAGAAATAACCTACCTAAGGTACAAATCATTTACATGTACCAACACCCTAAAATTCAAGGAATTGAGAAGAAAGTCGCCAAACACAATAGCATAATCACTACCACTGTGCCAACCGAAGATGGCCCTCAAAAAACACAGTCATAAAAGAAAGGGGAAAAAAACACTACCACAACAAAAACAACAACAATTTTGCAAGTCTGTTGACATAACTACTTATGTACCATATATGTAATTTTTACTTTAAAAAGTGTCTTGGTTTCTATTTTAACGGGAAATAAGGTTTTGTGCGAACAAAATCCATCTCCCACTGAAACAGGGCCTCATTATTAGACAGACGGAGAAAGTGCTAACATCCTAACGTTTTGAAACAAACAAACAAACAAAAAATCATAGAGTGAAATAAAAAAACTCACGTAAAGGCCCGATTAATGAATCACATCATTACCTCTGAAGCAGTCTTATAAGGGGACTTTGTTCTTGACATCAGAACACTTAACAACCTCATAATAATCAACCATACTTCGTGCTGCTTTGTGCGGGATGAAACCTGCTTTATATCCTTTGAAAAGACCAACAATTATCTTATGTCAGCCTCGCAATGCATACATATACATTCAATAAAAATAAAACAACAATTGGTTGGACACCCCTGAAGGTATCCGGTAATAACCCTAATTTCAAACAAGATAGTTTACAAAGCCGCCTGTATTTCTTCTCAATCTAACAGACATTTAACACATTTACCATCTGTTCGAGGGTCAATTCCTTCAAGCATGTGGACAGCACTTTATTCAGAGCAACCTTGTCTCTTTCATTATCCTCCAGGTCAGATGTCAACATGAGCATCACCTAAACACACATCAATATATTTCGTTATCTAAGAGGCTCAAGAGAATTTCCAAACCAACAACGCTACAGATCAACGACTAGTTATATAGCAGTCTATTGAGTCGATACTGTGATAGGGTTGATTGCTACTCCATGACAATGCATATGCAGCGCAGCTTCCTAAGAACGGGTTTCCTTCATTTTATAGTAGCACCATTTAATTTTTCTTGCTGGTGATACGCCCAAAACATGTGAAGTGGAAAATAGTGATTTCTCTAACGGCATTTTACTTCAGACTGATCTTTAGCGGAAAAGCAGAGGAATGCACGTTATCAACCAACAATGAGGCGAATAAGGCTTTTTAGTTAAAACGTTGTTTTATATCCATCTGTGTTGAAGCAACTCTTTTATTTCCTATCATGTTCAAAACAACTGCAATTAGATTTCACACAATGCAAAACAGACAGACTCCGCTCTTGATTACAAGCAGAGTCAAGCTTCTCTAAAATCAGTGGACCACCATATCTGTTTCTGACTGGCTTATTTCAAGTATGCAATTCTTTTTCTAGACTACACTACAAGCCTCGAGCTAGAGTAAACAGCCTTTAGATACCGGATTTGGCCAAGGTTTACAACACCGTTTTATTGACACTGTTTCAACCCTGATTTAACTACCGGTCTGAATTAAACACGTGTCGCCGCATACCTGCATGAAGGGTATTGCCTGCACACCACCCACGTCCTTCAGCTGAGGCAGGTGAAGCAACAGTTCATCCAGTAGCAGAAGCCTCAATGAGTGCAACTTTTCCTGATCCATCAAGGTTTCCTTTGTGGCCTGATGTGGCCCGCCTCCCGGATCTTCATCCCTATTACCTCCGCTCCCGAGCTTACTCTCCGCGGTACCTAACAATATAAAAGAAAGAATAACAAACTTGAAAACACTGAATATGTTGGGCAGTCAGTCACTTGTTACCAAGATAATGACACCTGTTTTATCAAATCAGAAATAAAAAACTGAAACACTGGTATTACTATCAATTTTTTTATTGCTCGGGGCTGAAAGTTCTATCGTTCATGAAAGCAAGGTATGGGAATACCAAGAAGCCATGTTCCTCGTAGATAATGGCAACGAATATCAAAAAATAATCCAGCAACCATGGTGACAAAATCGCTGAGTTACGACTGACTTCAGTATCATCGACCACACAGGGCTTGAAATAAACTTGGAATTACCCAGCTCTCGCATTTCGGTTGCCTGCAGCCATTGCTTGGTCGTCTTAAATACTGTTCAGTAACACGATGACTCGCCTGCACCCTTCGCCATTGGGTGCAAAAGCTTTAAAATTTAATTGACCACCACGAAAATCCACTCGTACCGGACTGCCGCACAGAATTTTTTGAGCCGAAAATTGCAAAACCAGCCTTTGCAGCAACAGTTGATTAAGTCATTTATTTAAAACGTCCACATTGGACAAATAAGCTAATTCCAACTGTGAAAAGACCAAAAGCAACCGCATTCGGCACTGCTGAGAAAAAACAACTTTGTTTGTTTATCTTGATGTTAAAAACGTGATGTTACAGAGTATGCTACAGTGTGTTATCATGCTAACCTGCCTGAACGCCGTCAACAATAACAGTTTCAATACTGGATGCTGGCTCAGCAGCAATGGAGTCCACACTGCTTCCACTCTCAAATTCAGCCACCCCATGCCCACTATCAGGTGGCAGAGGAGACCTGGGGGCACTGTGTCCTGCCGAGGAGCCTTGGGCACTACAAGGAGGGACATCATATTCATCCTCACTCCCTGGTCCTACAACAACAAAATTGAATTAATTAGCTTCTACCCAACACCTAACATTGAAACACTAAGTTCTTTGAATTTTTTACATATTTTCTTTAATTTTTGTAACTTTGATGGGCTCCATGTACTATTGAACTGTCAAATCATCCAGTGTTGTAAATAGTCCTTGAAACGACCTGAGGGGAGTACTTTCTATATTAAGTGGTTAGAAAAGAAGCCTTTAGACTGAACGACGTGACCGGTTAAACTAAAGATTGCGAAATTTTGCCGAAGGGAAACGATTGGGGGATCTTCTCTAGAACATTATTGCTACTACATACATAAAACCCCATACCTGAAGCATTATCCAACGACACACTTGCTTCGACGGCAAGTCCCTGTGATTGCAATCCAGGCAATGGCAGTCCTTGAAGACTGAGCCCCTGAGCACTGGCTTGTTCCTGAAGACTCAGGGCAATGGCAAGCTCCATCATGGCTTCATCATCTGCATCGGCAGGCAGATCTAACATGCCTGGTAAACCACCAGCACCAAGCAGCAATGCCTCAAGATGACTGGCGGCACTTGCTATTGATGGTACTCCTACTGCAGGCTGGCTAGGTTCCTGAGAGGGTTCTTGCGGTGCTGCCTAGTTTGATGCAAGTAAGCACAAACAGTTCAATAAGGAGTGCGTAGTGATATAACCTGCGAGCAAGCTCTCCGGGGCGCTCTGGAGGCGGGGCGGGAAAGGAAGGAGAGCTTGCAACTAAGTATCTGGAATTTGAATCTCTGCATCGAAAAAGTCGATGCGAAATGCTGATTGGCGGAGATGACATTAGTAATGACGACATTACATCCATTAACTGTGGCCAGTGTGTTTTGCAAAGTGTGTTTTGGGAGTCAACCAGGGGTTTATAAGCGTCGTTTCTCGGCTAACTGTTCATGTTTGTTATTTATTGGAATCTCGTTCAAACCAGTTTAACAGACGTTCGCAAACCGTTTTTCATTTCCCTCCAAAGTTACTGAGAATTACGTCACGGGAATATTCCCATTCTAAGAGTCTAGAAATTACATATTACATACATGTTCCTGCAAGTATTCTACGTTTTCAACTCGAGGCCACATGATATATGTGGTGGATATATATGTACGCTGGTAAGAAAATTCTTCGCTGAGTTTGAGTTTTTAAACTATCCTTACCTCTTGTGCTTCAACATCTGGCTGCTCGCCTGCTTGCGTTCCTTCACCGTCTGTTCCACTGGGCTCCTCTGGAGGTGTTCTATCTGCTCTATCCTGCTCACCATCGTCGTCTTCACCATCATCATCATCTCCTCCAACTCCATCTTGTGGTGGTGGACTACCGATACCATGCCAGTGTTTGTGTATCAGACGCATAAGCGCTTGTTTGCATGCAAAACTAACAGACTGGTCCTGTCAAAACAAATTAAAGCGCAAATTCAGAGGCATTGTTTCTCACCAACTGCCAGCGAATATACTCTTTATGACCTTTTTAAGGGAATCCAAGACAGTCTAAGGGAATCCAACACAGTCTTGGATTCTGGATTCCACGTGGTAGATTCCGGATTTCAGGCACTGGACTCCAGATTAGTTGTCAGCGGAACTTGGATTCCTGATTCCAGTCGTTAGCGGGATTAAAGATTTCTTGAGCTGTATTCTCGATTCCAAAGCCCGGGATTCCGGACTTCACAATAAAAAATCTATCGGATTCCGGATTCCGGATTCCCTAGGGGAACCGGAGATCCTGCTTTCGATACTATAATGTCTGGGATCGTCTGTATCCCAATGTTTGTTATGATTGGTCGATGGGTTCCAAAGACTGCCCCTAACCAATCACAGCTCAATATGGTGGTCAAACGATCGCATATCTCTCAGCGCTAAACGCCAGTACTTAGGTTTTCGAAGGTGTTATAGAGAGAGGAACATAACATACACCGCCCACTTACCTCACAAAGTAGCATTTTCACATACTGGTTCACAGCAAGGCGAACCTTGGAGGGATCTGCTATTGCGAAGGCGTGAATAATATCTACTAATGCTGTTACTGTTGACTCTGTGTGTTGAAAACCTGAAAAGGATAAAATGCCCAACAGAATCAGTTAATCAGTGGTGCAACGCCCTTTTTTTCGATCTTGAAACAACAGTCACAGTAAGCGAACGCTCCAAAAAATTCTGACAAAAATCACGTTGTGTTCATACAAGTCGACAAACTGTTTCGCAGAAGTTCTCGTAGTAATGTGTACTTTCAATTTAAATAAATTTTTAGGTTATGGGCCAAAATTTTAGGTTAACATTATTATTACTACTACGCAACCTTCAAGACTAAAACCACTTGGAAAGACGTGACAAAGCGCGAAAACGATGCAAAGAGCGTAGTTTAAAGGCGTATTTGCGCCGTTTTATTGATATAAATCTTTTCCAAGTGGTGCTGGTTTCGGAGGTAGCGCGCAGCAGTGAAAATAATGGCAGTAGGAATTACAAAAGTTTACAAGTACTGACTGTCTGCTTTTATTCAATGGTATTGTGATAGTTCATAGCAATCTGATAGCTCACAACAGATCCTTACCAACAGAAGACAAAGGTGACAAAACTGGATTTACAGGCTGGCAACTGTGTAGATTCCAGAAGGCATTCATTAGGCACACAGCAAAATGACGACTCTCTTCCGTATCTGGTAAAAATAAAAGAGAAAAAATGGCATTAAGTGAATGATAGCAGCGACTTATGAAAAATGATAACGATCGAATGACTGGACAATTGATAATCTGACTAACAATAAACGACCGTTAAACTGTGACAACGCACGGATCGAAACGCACCAATGACATTTAGAGTCTTTAAAGCCAACAACATCGCAACTTAATCGACCAATCCAGGTCATAAACATAGATTAATACCATCAACAGATACCTGAAGTTGATTACTACACAGGTTGTCGAAACGTCAGTCACTGTCAACATTCACCCGGACGATCACCTTTCACCAAATTAAGAAAGCATTTTGCAACGTGCGAATTAACTAAAGCTTCCTTCCTTCATGAATTATGGTGGTAGGTCCATGATAAGATAAATGATGGCAGAGATGCTTTTGCCACCGGCAGGAAGAACTTGCCCTTGTAAACTAAAAATTACAAACTGCAGAATAGAGTTATTACAATATTAAAGGTACAGGTTCTCAGCCGATTGACCTACCTTCTGCCGTTGTCTGTTGTGGTAGAGTGGTGTACTTTGCCAGATTACTGGGCCTTGTAATAGCCACTGATCGTGCACTCACAACAAGCCTTTGGAAACTTTCAACATCAAGTCCGTTTATGTTTGCCGACATTTCTTCAACTTCGGATTTCTCCTGCTTGTCTTCTTTCTCTTTTTCCTCTGGCTCCTTTTCCTTCTCTTTCTCTTTTTCCTCTGGCTCCTTTTCCTTCTCTTTCTCTTTTTCCTCTGGCTCCGTTTCCCTCTCTTGGCAGGAGCTTTCCTCCATTTTACAAAGAAAGTTTACTACTTGAGAAAGCTGTGCTTGGTCCTGAGAAAGAAGAAATCACAGTTGTCAGCGGTTTGAGCGCAGTTGTTAATGCTCATACGTTAGACGCGATTTAATAGTTTTGTCGAATACTCTGATACGAAAAATGCTCGTTATTCGTATCAAAAACGAAAGGAAAGAGTATGTTGAGCTCTGGGGATTACAATTCCGGTAGAGCGTTCTGTACTGCTGCAAAGAGGTGCTTAAAAGATTAAGGCGGGAACCAGTTTACGCTAAAGGACGGCGAAAGAAGAGACCGACTAGAAGTTTTTGTGTGGCAAACGGGACAGGGCTATTTCTTGGGTGTTTTGACACGATCTTCACTTAACATTACTGTGCTCTGGTTTTATACAAAGTTTTGATTGAGGAATGGTGAAGTTGGACGTAAAATTTTTCCAAACATAATTATTGCCACGTTTGTCACACTAGGTTTTGACGTCTTTTTTCTCCGCCATCCTAAGTATTGTAAAAGTTCACTTATGCCGAATGCAGGACGCGAATTGGTCATTTTAAGGTTGCGCGTGACACTTGGTTGGTAATGTGCAATTGCATTATGGGACTGTTTCACGGACACAATCACTTCACTTCCGGTAATGTAGGAGCTGGTCATAAGGTCTTTCCTGATTCGTTCTTATGGTAATTCATTTTTTATCAATGTTTTCCGGTTTGGGTAGCAATCCAATTGGCTTTCAGCTGTTACATGATCCTTCACTTCTTCTACTTTGCCCACCCTCGTGACATTACCAATAATATTGGTAATATTGGACAGTTACCAACAGTGGTAACTACTGTTATATTATAACAGTAGTTACCACTGTTGGTGTCCTGAAAACATACTGTACGGCTAATTCAGTATCAAGTTAGTCTGCATACCTTGTGGCTATGGTAGGACATTTTCGATGGATGTAAGGTAGCTAGTAAGGCTTGGGCTTGGTGTTGAACAACAGAGGGCATGGCACTGGTCATAAGTGAGGTAGCAGCATCAAGAGCCGACTGTCTGGGCATCTCTTCTTGCGAGACAAATGTGGAGAAACAACCGTCCACGACCTCCAGTAGATGGACAACCAATCTGTTCAGGAAAAGGGTAAAAACGAGGTAAAAATGTGGACAAGATCAGGCAAACAAGCAAACGAATTAAATGGTGAGAGATGATAGACTGCACAGAAAGTGACTTGGACTTGGTCTGGTTACCATAACCTCTTGCAGGTCACCTAACACAACCTAAACAAGGAGGGACGGGGGTCCAAACCTTCCGCCTGTCGTACGTGGCATTCCCAGCTCCCTTTATCCCTTTTTCGATTGTGGAATATTAAGCATTGTTACGTAATTTCCATTTATTTTTCCTGCTTTCCGCCCTTTTAGAACTCCCCTCCTGCCTTTCCTCTACCGCCTCCCGTTCCGCGGTCATCCCCAATAAAGAAGGCGCATAAATTTACAGCATATCTACATCACATTCGTAGCAAAAAGTACCAGTTAATATGGAATACAGGAACCCATTTAATACAAATCAGTGCTCGTACTTGTCAACAGCTGTCATGGGAGGGACAGAGTTGATGATCTCTGTCTCAGTGTCTAACGTGGCAGCTGTTCCTAGAGTTCCTGGAGTAGAGGGTATCTCTTCTTGGGGATCATCTGGCCAACCAAATGCCTCTTTTGTCTTAGTGTAAACCTTCACTGAATCCAGCATTGTCACTCCTGATGTGTCTAAAGACTGACCAACTAAACAGTGTACAGAAAAATCAATAAGTGAGATAAGAAGATTTCATGTCAATTGTTACAATAGTAAATATCGTATTATCCATCCCCCAAGGGCTTTTCAGGGATAGTTTTCAACACTGGGTGGGATACTTTATTAGACTGCTTGTGGCACGGTTTATAGTTCCTGAGGTAATGAGTTATGAATACCCCTTAATGTGAATGTGAATTTGAGATAAGACCACCACACGTCGACTACGTCACCTACTATTTACGAACAGTGTTCGGGTTATCTAATGTGCCACAGAAATGTTTATATGTAATAGGGCTGTGAGACTGGGCCTACAGTTTAAAGTCCTTGTCTGGAAAGACTAGAAAGTCTAACACTTTGCAGATTTCATTCCAAAAGCAGCACTTTCACGCCAGTTATTCTAAGACCCCGAATGTTGTCTCTTGTTCCCAGTTCTCATTTCCGCCACCTTTAGATCTAACATTTCCCGCGCTACCTTTATAGTAAACCTCTGCAAGAGCAACAAACTTATGAAAATACTTACTAAACAAGGAGAATTTCTTGTCTGCAGTTAGAGACTCTTCTCTTGTAAAAGGAAGGTCAAACCATCTATTTCTTGTCAGCGTTAATTGAATTACTCGGCCAAAAATCTCCACAAAGGATGGTGCCTTTTCCACAGATTGACAACCAACCAGGATCCTTACTCCAACCATTACAACACTGGGATTAGTGTTGGTTATTTCAATATTAAAACCATTTGGCTGAAAAAAAAAAATCACCAAATGCAAGTCACTCTCACAGTACACAGTACTATAACACTACAATACTACAGTATAATATACAGTGTATAGTATCCATGTAGGACAGGGATATACTCAAAATATACTTTCTAAGAGGTCTCTGGAAGTTTCACGTTGTAGTCGTGCAAAACAACGGCAAAGAAATGTACAAAAAAAGTGTGCTGCACGTGCAAAGTTGTTTTTTTTACCGTTTTCGTTGTCGTCGCCGTTTAGACGATTTTATATTATTTTTGTTTGAGTAACTATGTAATGTGGTAACCCTAACTTTCCAAAACGATTCTTTTTTTCACATTGCTTGTATCAATTACTGCCGTGCAAGACAAATAACGATACCGATAGTATGAACAGTAGCTATGCAAAAATATTGGAACAAAACAGCAAAGTTAAACACCCACAGGACTGGTTTGGGACCCTTAAAAGACCGCAAATTCATTGCTTTGGGACACCACTATGGCGAACGTGACGTGGTGAGAAAACGCTCTAGACCTTACACTGAGTGAACTGAGTGACAGATGAACGAGACGCCTACCTAAGGCGTGTATTGGGCTGCCTACATACATACATAAACTTTATTAAAGTGTCAAGGTATTTACCTAAGAGCTAATTGTGGACAATTGCAGCGGTCTAATGTTTATAGTTACTCTATTCCGAGAATTAGAGTAACAGATCAGGCTCCAGGGAGGGACGGGCGATTTTATCCGTCCACCATTTTCTCTTTTTGCTGCACAGATAACAAAGGCCATTTTCCAATTAGGCTTTGCCACAGGCAGCCCCAGAAAAGGAAGGCACCAAGAAGGGGATAGTAGTACGCAATTAAAAACTAAAAAAAAAGCATACCTTTGTGCTTGCAATGTACATTCCAGCTGTCATAAGCCTATGCTTAACTTGCTGCACATTATACACTTGTAAAATATCTCCACCCCCAAACTCGACTTCATTTAGCGGCTGGCAATGCTCAAAGAAATCAACAGGGAAATTGACGGTGGTAGACTTCACCCTGGTTTTGGTCGCTTTCTTCTTACGAACTGGCTTCACTATACTCAGCGGCCTGTAAATGGCAATAAATATCAATCGATAAAGATTTACGCAACGCAGGCAAACAATGCACCCGTTTAGTAGGAACTTGTCACGCCTAAAAAACTAGTATTTCAGGTAGTCTTTTGGACAGGTAGCTCGCACGTCTTTCTAGCCCTGGGTCATTGCATGCGAGTCGTAGTAAATGATTTAGTAACAGAATGACTTGCTTGAACTCTTGTCCATTGGGCCAGTGAGGTTTTAAAAAAGTTACTTGCCTGAAAAGAAAATCTTCTTGCCCCGGACGACCGGACGGAAATTTTTCCACACCTCCACGTTATCAACCGAAACTGATTTTTTTTTTCCTCACTGTCAGAGTTGAGGTCAGTATACATCACACTAACCTGGCAGGCTGAAACTCAGGAGCCATCCAGTAGCCAGTGTGTTCTGCACTTGCCATGTAGATTCGCAGGCTACCATCTTCACAGAGAAGAATCACAGTAGTTCGTTGTTGATCAGAAGTGCTCACTGAATGCCTGATTGCAACCATGTCTTGCGTTTTTGCTTTGGATGACGTTGCTTTGATTTCTTGAACCTTTCAAAGTATTACAGGGAACATCAACTTATGAAATAGCTGGAAGGAGCAACCCATATGTGTGTGGCAGGATTAGCTTGACTCCAGAGCAGAGCGGGAGGGGCATGGGTTCGATTCCCGGGGCCGGACCAATACTCCGGTTCTTAAAATAACTGAGAAATGGAGGTACTAACGTCTAGACTTTCGCGTGGCTCGGATGACCAAGTAAAATGGCGGTCCTGTCTCCAATACGGGACATAAAAAAACATTGTCCCCAATTGGTTATTTCGTGCTAAATACATTGTGTAAACACTCAAACAAAGTGCTTTTTTATGAAAATTTTATTTGTTTAACGCAAGTTATCGTTTTCTATCTTTTAACCGCATTCTTAAACTACTGGCCCCACGGCGTTTTAATTCTATTTACTGTTTATTACATTGCTTTCCTTTGCAACTGTACGTCAGCCAAACCTTCATTAAGACGTTCAACTTGACAGTGAACGAAAAACGGTTGAAACGTCGTTCTTTTGCGGCACTTACTCTTTTATAGTACCTTATTGATAATCAAATTTTAGTCTAGATAATTGACGTGGACACTGAGGTAGAGATGTTGAAAAATATTTTAACTCGCGATAGCTTTGAAAAAAAAAAGGCTTTCCTAATCTGTTATCGCAACGCCTACAGAATACAACTGAATTGGCATTTGGCATAAGAAACTCATTCCAATGATTTGCTTGAGTGAACACCAAACAATAGCTAACAAGTGCGCAATTCCCAATGCCCAAAGCAACCGTGGTTGACTCAGCTATAAACAGTACCTGTATTTGATGTGGCTTGATCATGAGCACCACAGGAACACCACCACTATGTGTAAGACAACAGACCAGGCCAGGGTGCTGTGGTACCTCACTCCACTGGCACAAAGCCGCTGCTTGAGAGTTCTTATTGCCACCTGAACTGCTCTTGAACGTCACTGGAAAGATCTTCGTCACCTCTTTTTGGTCTTTACTCCAAGGAGCCACAAATGTTTTACCTGACAAAGGAAAGCAAGGAATTTAGCCTGTTGACATTGTTGGATTCTTATTATTACTAGAAATACGTAAATCGCAGGACCTCGCGAAGGACTTGGGGGGAACGGCAAGTGAAGCAGGGAAGAAAATTTGTCAATCAAAATTGTGAGCTATATACAGAAACATAACAAAACTGTTGTACCTAAAATGAAAACTACATGAAAAGAAAAAGAAAAAAAAGAAGAAAACAAAAGAAAAGAACCGAAGAGAAAAAGTACTGTCCAGATTCGAACTCAGACCCTTCGGTGCAACGAGCGAAAGCTTTACCACTAGACAACGTGGAACACACACGTAGGATTTCGGAATTTTTATTATTAAAACCTTCCAGCCTAATTAAACATGAGTTCAAAGATATTTTTCAGAAGAATGACTGCAGTTTGGACAGTGAAAACCCAACGTAAATGCATTTCATCGCATTTACATGTAGAGAATGGAAGCCCAACAGTCTAGGACGATACGGTACAAACTCGTCTGCGAGCAAAACGTGTTTTGTTACCGCGATGTTCGCTCATATGTTTATAAGGCTAATTATCCAAAATCGCTTCCATTTGCTCTTAAAGAACTTTAGCATTTGAAATTCATTTAGTGGTGTTCTCTCTGCTCCGCTGTTTGTTGCTACCATCTCCATCCATCTTTGTTGCTTGCGCCGTTGAATTTCAAGTCGGCGTTCTTCGCTCCAGAGGATTTTTCGGTGTCAAATCTTCCCCTGCGAGGATTGACAATTCGGCGTTCTTGTGTTTGCTGTTCTGTTTGCATGAGAAATGGCTTGAGATTCACCGATAGTAAACATTGTTTTGCAGACGACGAAAATACAGCTCTTCATGAGTGCTTTGGTCATTGATGGGAAATTTGAAATTGCTTTCAGTCGAATGTTGCCCAGTTGCCCAGAAACAAAAATGCGCCGTGACGTCAACTACTGTATGACGTCATCGCGGACACCATCGGATATATACAAGTAAAGATGAAAACTGCGACTTTGCAGCTCGCTAGGACCCACGCGCGGTTCACACACTGTGCGCGCGCTTCGCGCACGACGAGATTATAAACTCACTTCGCTTGGCGCTCCGCCCCTCGCTTCGCGAGGAATGAGCAACGTGCAAAGAAAGTTGTGTCCGATAGCTCAGGGCTAGTAGATTTTGCTATTGGGCTAGTGATTTTTGTTCTTGACTCGTCCGACGGGCAAGTGCTGTTTTGGGGGAAATTCAAATTACAGAAGGATTGTTGGGGCTAGTTGAAACGACTTGTGGGCTAGTACACGCTAGCTACAGCTTGCCTAAATGGCAGGCTGTAAAACTGACTTTCTTTGCATCCTGTATGAGGCACTTATTAACCACTGTTAGCGATGCGCCTTTGGCTTCGGCTCTTTTCCCTCTGAATACGCTAGGAAAGTTAACAGTTTTCGGTGAAAAACTGACGTTAAAAATTGCGATCTTTTCTTTTCAGATAATTACCTTGACTGTAACTAAAGAAGAGCAATTGAAGGATGTGTGAGTAGTATACAGATACTCCTCCTCCAGCAATTTGTCCATTGGAGTCTTGCAGGTCAGCGTGCTCAATGGGAACCACATTAGTGAGGTAAAAAGGTCCGTTAACTGCACTGCTAGTAACATCCATCGGTTGCAGATACAACTGTCCACCCGACGACATCAAAATAAGACTATGATCACCATCATTGAAAATGAAACTCACATCTCTGATCTTGCCACTTGGAAGAAGGAAGTAATACAAAGGACTCAGCGCGTCCTGAGAAAGATCATAGATCTACAAAGAAAATGCAAGAGAACTTGTTTATTTATGGAACAAGGGATTTTGAATCAGCCTTTGATACTACCTAAAGCTGCTGTTCTTTTACTTAAAAGAGAAAAAAATGTTTTCTGACCCTACCTGATATTATTAGGGAACTTAAGCAAAGGCGCTTTTGAGCGATGCACGTAGACCGGAAGTTGACATAAGCAATTTAAATTTTGTAGCGTCAAGCCATGTTAAAATGGAAAAGACCTCAATTCCGGTTGACGTGCATGGCTCCAAAACGCCTTTGCTTAAGCTCTCTATCATTTTAAATCTATCCAGCTTATGTTTATGAAAGGCCACCTTGCGTGCCTAACAAAACTACCGCTACAGTCACTATAGACCAAACAAGGAAAAAAGCTTATAATGTTAGTTCTTCCAACAAATTTTTTAACCTCTAACTCCGCGGAAAGCTTAAAGTAAAAGATTTCAGTCAGTCTCAAATAACATTTTGCAATACACTGAAAAACAAGTAGTGCCATGTGAATGTACCACCTAAGAAGTTGCATTTGACTGGTCACACAATAATATTTCGTTCATAGAGTCGGACATTAGACCAACATGATATTTCTCCACTAATTGACCCTTTAAGTGAGAGAGGTAAAGAGGTCACGTCTTTTTTTCTCAAACCTTTTTAGTTTTTACATTTGCCCATGGAAAGTCAAAAGGAGAAAGATTTTAGTTTACCAATTCACAAACAACAACAACAAAACATACCTTGACGAAGTCCGCAGTAACTAAGGCCATCTGTGTCTGTGATCCAGGAAGCCACACAGCTTTGATGACGAAATTGCCAGTTTCTAATTGAGGATGAAGAGCTAGATGATCTACCACAGACCCTGAACTGCTGAAAGTCAGCACATGACAATCCTTCAAACCACATACAGCCAAGAAGTCCTCATTACACGAGTTTCCCGAGATGGACAGTACTGTGAAGGGAACCTGAGCTGTGGCAAGGCGAGTGAGGGTCAGCTTCCTCTTGCTAGAGTCTGCTTGCTTCAGGAGCGCTGATAGCTGTAGTACTGTAATCTAAGAGAGTCCATGTAATAAAAACAATGTTAGCTACTATCCTCGTGTGAAAGGAAATTACGTAAACTAGATTTTGTGAGGATATCGACTGCAGGCCTATTGACATAACTTGCCAGCAGATCTACTTTAAGTTGTCATTTATTTCAACGGGAGGATGGTTGCGTGAAACAGCGTGTTCTATTAGGGAAAAGGCTTTGGCAGCTCCGGAAATTGCCATTAGGCTTATGTAATGCGCCTTGTACATTCCAGTACATTCTAGTGCTTCATAACGGACATAGGTTTGTTTAAAATAATTATGTTATATCGTTATGTAGAGTTCCTTCGAAAAAAATCCAATTAATACAGCTGTATTTTAAAGAAGGATAAGGATTCTGTTAGAAGGCAGTGAGCCAACGTAAGAATTGGGAGGTTGTCAGGATGCCACTAACTCCTATCGGCTTAACTTTGTCTTTTTATTTTCCATACTCATTTTCTCGGGTAAAATTATTGTATATAGCAAACACACACCTTTCCCTTTTCATGACTAACAGCAAGATGTTGCCTGCGTCCCTTTGGTGACGCTAAACAACACATGGCAACACGCCGCAGGACATGAGCACCAATAAGCTGCCGGATGGTTTGTCCTTGTTCTCCACTGAATGTCATTCGCACATTTTCAAAAGCTCCCTCCTGAGATCCTAGTGTTGGAACCTAAAATACGATAAAAAAGATAAGCCTTCTCATACTCTGCTGTCACCAGGAGAATATTCATGGCTCTTCGTTTTTAGGGACATGATAACAATAGGGTTCTCTCATTCAAAATAATTCTCAGATTATAGAAATGAACTATTATACTGATTTTTTTCTTAGATAAATGACTCGTCTGATTCTGTTATCAAAGGCCTGCAATGAACAGCAGTCTTTCAACTCTACAGGTTGTCGGTTCCATAGTCTTTGCATTAAACCTAAACGAGGGCAGTCTGTATAACTGTTTTAACTCCAGGTAAAATCAAGGCTCTAGTGCAGTTTTTGGTGTTATTCGAATGGACTGTGCTAAATAAGAATTTCAGAAACCTTTCAAAAATGTAGCAGGTCGTTTAGTGCCTTATAAAGCATTTTGGCTTTCGTTCTCGCCACTCGTTCGTTACATTTTTACCTTCACGGCAGCAGCTGTTCGGATTCATTCAACAAAACAATGACAATGAAACAGTCGAAGCATGAAAGCACAAAACTCACCATGAGTTGATCAGTGTTTTCCACAGTTTTGTCGCTTGTGTGAAGTTCAGTTAGAGCAGTTTTGATGGCTTTTGATACACCAACTCCAACACTACTGGAACCTCCAGTGTTAGGTCCCATAAGCCACTGAAGAAGGTCCAGAGTAGTGTTTACAACTGAAGAGTTCTCTAACTGCGTTACTAAAGACAGCCTGTGTTTCTGGAAAAGATAGATTCTGACATGTAAGATAGTGCACCGTTTTGCAACTCTTTTTTTTTTTAAGGTACAACATTTAACGAACATGGTCATCGTGTTAGCACTATTGTTACCACCTCTGCCATCGGCTTCCTTTTCTTTATACGTTAAATTTTTGCAAAGCCAATGAGAGATTTAGAATTGATTTTTTGTACGTTGCAGTTCGATACAAAAGCAGTAAAGCCAAGAATACAGTTGACCATCATTATCAACCAAGTTTAAATTTGGATTGCTTCTGGTTTTGGGGAAAAATACTTTTGAGACTGAAGACAACATTTTCACAATAAATCATAAAAATAACCCAACCTCAAGCTGCTTAGATAAGGCTTTGACTGATTTGGAAGTTAGAGCTCCGGATTCCTGAAGTCCACTTCCACTGGTTGCAGCACCAGTTGAGCCTCCAAGTCCAGTTTCTGCAGGTGCTGCTGAAGAGCTCATTCCAGTGGTCACTGATGACCCTTTTCCAATTGAGGAACCTTCTATGTCATCGTTTCCTTCATCCATTTCACCAGTGGCAAATGGCGATGGTGGAACAGCATTTTGACCATCTGCCCCACTGCTGGGAGTTCGTTTGACTAGGGCCTGCAACAAGCAAAACGAGCATAAGCAAAAAACTAACAAGGTTAAAGGAAAAAACATTTGTCGAATTTGATTACATCCCAAGAAGGAACACTGGGGAGCACTCACCACGCAGCTTCCATCTTCTTTGGCGCCACAGTCACAAAAGAATGAGCCATACTTCGCGTACGTGATGTCATGATCTTTATGGCAAACCTTAGCACATACTGTACACACACCTACTCCGTCGTTCATCTTACAAGTGTGGCAGTGGTACCAGTGCTGATTCATGAACTCTTTTTGTGTCACAGTGAACGTGCACAACTTGTTGCAAAGAGAATCTTCATCCTGTAAAAAAAGCCATCAGCAAACAGGTAATCAGTTAGGCTGATAAAGTAAAATTAATGTATGGAATAGGTCTACAAAGGACGCATGGAGTCTCTGTCTTGATCAGTTTTTGCACACTATTCACTTACAATGGTGCACTTGGATAAAGCTAGTTAAAACATTTGATCATCATCAAGATGTTGATTTGCATCATGAAATGTTATTTGACGTGAAGATCACTTGTCATTGAGTGGTGGTGTTGCGCTTCACGAGTAACTAGGGTGAAAGGCTAAAAAGATAACTAGCTAACCTTCTTATGCACAAACCTTTTCAAACTCTTCATCTGCAACTCATTTAGTGCGCTTATTGTTTACACAAGGACATTTGTGACCGATAATTACACGTTAAATAGTTAATGAAGAATATCATTAATTTTGTCTCTCCCTTACAGATTCTTCACCACCAGAGTCATCCTCATCTCCAGCTATGTCGTCCATCCAATCAGAATCCACATCCTGAAGCAAAGAATCTCCATCTGTGGGACAGAGTGATGGTGATGGTGGACACTCTTTCTCTGAAGAGTACTTCAAAGCAGTCATAACTTCTGCCATATAGCGAAGAAGAGGTCCTACTGCGTCAACTACACCACTCTCTTTACCCTTTTCACCATTGGCTTCCACAAGGAGAAGTTGAGTTTTGCTGAAAGGAAAATGAATAATTAAGGCTTGTGTTTCCGAAATCTTCACCTAATGGGACGTTTACATGTGTTTAAGTCGACCATAACATGATTTCATTGTGTTTGAATGCTGGTAGCTGAGATATATGTCATTTTAAATCTCCAAAGTTTGCTGCTGATTTACGGATTTCTTTACTGGTGTGGCACTTGGTCATCGGTAAGTAAAAAAATAAAAATAAAAAAAATAAAAAAATAATGCAATAAAATGACAGTTTGCACTCTGTTGCTCATGTAACCACTTCATAGTTAACTTTCATTTAGGGATTTATCCCTAACAAGGGTGTAAAGCAAACTTCTCGACTACAGCATAGAGTTTACAAAGAAGCAAACACTTTGAAGTGATGAACGTCTAAGCCCTTGCGCTTGTTCCAGAAATGAACTATACCTCCACTGATAGTGGACACTGCACATCCTTTTTACTTACCATTTCTCCAGCCAATTAATAACGGCAGTACACAGTGTAAGGTGGCCTGATCCGTCCCCAGCACCAGCTAGTACTGCAGCTGTGTTCAGCAGATCACCAAACTTTGATCCAATATTACTCCACTCACTGGAAACATCAGGCAACAACTCGTTTCCTAAAGGAATCAGGCACTCTAGCAAGGAATGCGATACTTGCTCGCCAACAGGACTGCGAAACAAACAAATTATTGCACGGGTTTTAATTACACTGTGCTAGGTTCCAAGGTTCCTAGGCCCCTTTCTCTCTGGAAAACCAGGAATGAGTTGATACGATGATTTTTACACCCAAAGTCCATAAGTAAAGCTGTGCACCTCTTAACAAGCAGCCAAACGTTTATCTTTTGAACAGTTAATAGTCAATACCTTGACTCCTTCACAATGTGAGTGCTGAATGTCTGAAGGAGAAGCCTGTTATCCGCCATTTTTCCAGTGTTTCCTTTGTCATCTTCAACACCTAGGATAATCCTTCTTAGCCATGCTTCAAGAGTTTTATGGTCCAAATGACATAGCTCAGAGAAGCTTGAACACAATGAGCGCATACTTGAGTTAGGAGGCTTCTCGGCTGTGCAAAAGGTAATTAAGAAAACACATTGAGAACAGTATCACTTCACCCTTTTACCTCTGCCTTAGCCCAGAGGGGGCCTTACGAAACTAGGCTGATTTCAGTAGCAACAGAACGGGAATGTCAGTTGACGACGGCGCGCGCAAATCAAACAACTGGCTTGACCAATGACACAGCGGCAAATTGGGCACCGGAAGTCGAGTTTAGTCCTTACCGCGCGCCTTCCTGTCGTCAAGTGACGTTCCCGTTCGGACGGCAACGGAATGTCCAAAAATTGAAAAGAAAACAACAAAAATAAAACAAACAAACATAACATAACAACAACAACAATATGTTTACTAAGCAAAACAACAGCTTCGCACGTGTCTCATGCTTTTCTGTAAATTTCTTTGCCGTTCTCAACAACATGAAATGACCAATTTCGCGTATTCTAGAGACTGTGAATGGCTGGGCAACACATTTTTTACTGTAACAATGAATTTAATATGTCTGAAACAAAAAACGAGGATATAAGAAATTCATATATTCATTATTTCATCTTCACCTTTCAAGGTATTTTACGAACCAATTAACTGACCAGCTCCTAGTTAGCTTAACTGTTTAGAGCGCTGCACCGGCGTCGCCGTATCATAAGGACACTAAAATTTCATCTGGGAACAGTTGCGGCATTAAGTTTACGCTGTGGGTGATCCTGGCTCAAGCAATTGTAATCGTTTTATTATCATACATCTAAAAGCAATTTAGTGGTTATTAAAAAACCGTAGCAATAATATTGAGTAAACACTTACCAAGTTGCAAGACACGCACTGCCAGCTTAAGAGTCCTGTTGACATATCCCAGGGAGAATCGTTTGTTTGCGGAAAGCACAATAATCTTGCAAAGCTCTTTGTTTTGCGAATACAATTCATCAAGAAGAGCGTGATCGGACACCTTGTCCAACAGAGAATCCATGTACTTCAGGCAGTCTACAAGCACCTCTTCACCAATATCAGACCTGAGAAAAACATATCATTTTTAGTTCAGCATGATAACGGGTATTCTGATGCCTAGTTCAAACATCAAACTTTTCCTGTACCGAACATAATCCCTTCAATCAAGTACATGAAAAGATCGACGTTTGAATCAGTTTAGTCCAACATCTCTAATTTGGGTCGACCCAAGAATTAAGTTCGAGTGGCCCACATGGGAATTCCGACGTTCGAGGGACTTCGTTTCAAACGTCGAACTTTTCATGTGCCGAACCTAGTGCAACATTACTTTAACTTATTTTCATTGTTAATATTATAGACCATTGTACATCGTGAAAATGAATTGAGTCCGCCCAATTAAGCTCGACGTCTGAATCAACTTGTCTCATTTGAGTTGACCCAAATAAGTACTGAAAAGTTCGACGTTTGAACTGGGGTTGAGATCCTTTTGTTAACCCTATTACATTATATCACAAATCAGCTGCAAGTATCAACATATTAAATATTTGTAACCCTTCAAGCTGAACTTTGTGTTGCTTCCTTGGTCAAGAAACTCTTCCAAATTCGACCCAAGCCGGCCATGTGATATAACCCTTCCAAAGCCACCTTGGACGTCCTTCGTGAATACTTGGTAAGGTAGGTTTTACAAGTTACACGAAAGCTTATATCCTGAGGCCAACGAGAAATATGTTGAAACGCAACGAATAGTACAGAACTTAGGCAAAGTAATAAAAGAAAAATAAAAACAACAACAAACCTGTCAGCTACAGACTGGTCTACAAGAAGACGATGACATTTTGTCAGTACATAAGCCTGAACGCAGTTGGCGAATTTGTCACTGTCTGCAGGACCAACAACTCGATCCAAGATGGTGTTGCACTGTTCAGAGAGATATTCTGTGGTTGCATCCACAATAAGAGGTACTATAGTATCACAAAGCTGTTTGCCAAGGGCGGTCTGAATAGAATGGTCTTCCTTTGGACTCCATCTGCAACATAAAGGGAATAATATATAAACCTAATTGCAACAGTCATAGAAATATGCTAAAAGGAAAAAATGAAAAATTTCAAAAGGCAAATAGGAATTAATTATGCTTTCCAGTATTAAACCACTACTAGGTGAATTCATTTGCAACTCAAGCGTACAGCCGTCGCATTTTCAATATTTTATGCCTCAAAAAAAAAAAAAAATGCCTCTGCTGCAAATGAACGCAGCCTATAGTGGTTTATGAGTAAGAGTAAGCTAATTAATTCTTACTAGCCTTTTTTCCTTTTAACATTTTTCTGTGACAACGTTTCAGCAATTAGGTGTATATTATGTGTCTTGAAAATTGTCTGATGTGCATTAGATTGCAGTCTGCTTACTACAAACACCAGAGAATTATGAGCCTATTTAAAACGGCGCAAAAGATAGATTTTTTCGTCTCTTGTAGCTGTACAGACAAAAGTACAAATATTTTGGTCACGCTACCAGAGGACGTTACGTATCTCAATGCTTCAGAACCTTAGACGCAATAATTATTAGGGAGCTTCAGCAACGACGGCGGTGACGGCAACGAGAACGGCAAAAAAGCGATAGGTTTAGATTAGCAAAACAACAACTTTCCACGTGCATCACGCTTGCTTTATACATTTCTTTGCCGCTGTTGTGCATATACAAAACTGAGTTCTTGATCATTGGCACGGAACGACAGTTATCAAAGGTGTCCGTTGACAAGATCACGATCGGCCAAGCTGAGGTATCGCCTGCCTCTTCAGTGCGCAATTTGGGCACCTGGTTCGATTCTCATCTGGACATGTCGACTCATGTGTCTAAGACTTGTGCTAGCGCGTTTTATTATTTGTACAATATCCGGCACATTAGGAAGTATTTGTCTCGTGAGTCCACCGAGAGGCTTGTTCACGCGTTCATCACAAGCAGGCTTGACTACTGTAATGGTTTATTGTACGGTGCTCCTGAGTATCAAATTAAGAAACTTCAAAGAGTCATGAATGCCAGTGCTCGATTGGTTTACTGCGCACCTAAGTATTGTCACGTTACTCCTTTGCTAAGAGAACTCCACTGGCTACCAGTGCGCTTGCGCGTAGATTTTAAGATTCTCCTTGTTACATTTAAGATTCTTCACGGTGTTGCGCCTAGCTATCTTAAGGATCTTGTCTCTGTCTTACCGGACTCACGTTACCAGCTACGCCGTAACAATAATGGTATATTGCTAGAAAGACCTCGGCTAAGAACGAAGAAGACTTTGGGAGATCGCGCGTTATCGATGGCTGCCCCCTTTTTATGGAACAGTCTTCCTCTGCCAATAAGACAGGAAACATCAATCGACTCTTTTAAACGCTCTGTTAAAACATATTTATTTAAGAAGGCTTTTAGTTAGATTATTTATTTATTTATTTTTAAATATTGTAATTTTACCGGGTAATTTTACTGGTTTTTAATTTAGTTATTAATAATATTGTAATGCGCTTTTGAGTATTTTCATAGAAAAAGCGCAATATAAGTATTAAATATTATTATACAACGCGGAAAGTGCCTAAATTCACGTTTTGTCAAGGACGAGAACACAAGACAACAACTTTCTTTTTCTTTTCCTGAACTTTGATACATTTGACAAAGTAAACGAGATGGAATAAGCGCGATAAAGTTTGAACCAGCGCGAATTCACTTTTTAAGTGACGTTTTCGTATAGTCTTCGCCGTCGTTGTTGCTTAAGCTTCCTACAGAGGTCTGGGACTTATGCAATTTAATTTTCACTTACGACAGCAGGTCAGCAGTAAGTTGAACAAGCGAGTGAAGAGTATGTCTAAGGGCCGGAGCAATATCAAGTGTACCACCACTACACATAGCATCCAAATGAGCTGACACAAGGGTGTCCAAAAATCCTTCTGTTCCAAATGCAGATAGACACGATGCTTTCCACATGGAACCTGACGGAAAATTTGAAAGCCCAATATTGTTCCACTTTTCTAGGGCTTTCTTGACAGAAGATGGCAGGCCTGAAATGTTAAAGCAAATGTATCAGCTATACCGCCAAAAATATCCCATATCTTGTTACTTAAATTTCTATCCAATGCTGGTTGGTGCTGCCAAAGTTTCTAGTTCTAACTTTTGTGGTTTTAGATAAACGAAAGCCTGTGGCGTAAACACTGTTCAAGGCAGGTACTGTGTGGAGCCATTTGTTTTCTGTTGTTGTTGTTTGCTTAACATGTGTTATACACCAAATTAAATTTGGGATTTCCTGGAATTTTGTTCATTGGCATTCTTTCAGTGAATGTGCTTGTACACCCCTGCTAAACCTTACAGTAACATTTATTTCCAACGATTACTTCGTATAGCGTTTTACCACAAGAGGGCATTATTACCTGCTAGGAATGTTAAGGAAAGACATGGGTGCTTTGGAAGTCGCATGAAACCAATTTTGATAACACTGGAGTAAGCCTGAAAGGACTCTGAACTGTCTGACCCACTGCTCTTCTGCTTCACTGCACCAGATAGCAAAGAGAACCTGACAGATACGGTAAGAACCGGCGAGTAAGAACTTGCATTTGCCCAGGTTAGCATAAACAGGTTCTTAAATAATTGGTAATAAGCCCAAATTTAGGCTATTTAGGTTCTTAAATAGGTTCTTATTTTCTGAAGAAAAAACATAGTGTAGTTAAGAGTATCAATTGGTGGTTTTCAGCTTACTCGTTATATAAAACCTGCATACCATTACATTGCAGTTGGAGTGATAAGGCACCCATATCTCCAAAGAGGATCCTGAATGCTGACCTATTTTACTTGCCCAAGTGAACAGAAAATTTTTACAGATTTTAGGAAATAAGAACCTGTTTCAAATTTTAGACTACACAAGTTCTTGCAAGGAGGGAGCCTAACTAACAAAAAACAATATTTCTATCAGACTTTGAAAATGCTTACATGAACTGCTGTCGTTACATGCACTTGTATTGCCATCAAATTCAATTTTGACCTTCTTTAGCATGAATTTACCATTAATTTACATTTCAGTCTCACTCTAATCTATTAGACAACTTCATTATATTAAAGTCTATAATTTATCATTAGCACATTCAATTTTAGAATTACAATCTATAGCTTGAAAGGTAAAAAGAATGTACACCAGTGGACAGAATAACGGGTTATGTGACAAGTAGATGGACCACATACCACCAGGGTGTACAATTCCTGCATTGGCATAAACCACTCAATAATTTCTCGTTATTCTCTAGCCTGAGAAAACAGTCGACATTTAGCGATGCCACACTGGTTTCCCTGCGAAATGACGTCTGAGGAACAAGCGCAGAAGTTCCATACCGACGATATACCACAACGCACATCTGGGTAGTGCTTCTGATTGGTCGATCCTGCCGCAGAAACATTACTTTAACCAATCAGAAGTGCAACCCCGATCTGGGTTGTGACAAGTCAGCAGTATGGAATTTCTGTAGTCGTTTCTTAGACGTCATTTCGATGGCATCAAGAAATGTCGACTGTTTTCTCAGGCTAATTATTCCCTTACCCAGCAAATTTCTGATACAATGGAATTAATTCCATAAGCACTGGTAAGAGGATATTGGCATTCTCCACAATAAGCGTCAAGTCTGGGTCATCATCCGAGTTTCCAAACAATGAATTAAGAGCCACATGTGTTTTTCCTAACACTGCATCCAGAACGCACAGACTTAACAGTCCAGGCAGCTGATAAGGCATGTCTTCCCTGATTAGCTCACTGTGAAGTTTGGCTATCTGTGTACAATATTATACATTCTAGGTCTGTACATTCTCAGCTTTAAGGCAATATTGACAATGGCGTGATTTGTAAAGGCCTTAGTCTTCAACGGACTGCAATGTTTAAGTCAATGTCTAAGGTAATGAAAAGTCTTTAAAATTGGCCCGAAACACTTGGGTAATAATAAACGATTATACGACTGATCAACGTATCATGTTACCATATATCCTTCCAGACATCAGCCTCTATAAATAAAGCTACCCTTGTGCGTCTTCTCTTTGAATAAGCGAGTGCACCCACTCTTCTCCTGCAGAAATTCACACAAAGTTGGGCACTCCTGATTTCAGGGGATAATTATTTCATAAATCAAATAATAGGACACGTTACAGTTGTGGCCTTGGTGTCCTAGCCTTTGAGTGAACGTGAAGCTGAGGTTAAGCTTGTGTAAATACAAACCTCCTTCTTCTCTCAAAAAATACTACTAAAATACTACTAAGCATAAGAATATGATTTATAATACAGCAGAGAGGTTTGTATTAAACCAAAGTCAACTCCAGCCTCGATTCAACCTGTAACTGTAAAATGGGCTATTTTGGGTGTCTCTTATCTGTCACATGTACCTCGTGTAAGAACTGCTTAGCCATTACCACACTGTGATGAAGATCGCCACTCAGTTTTGTCACTTTGTCAATGGTGCTTTGAGAGTCATCACTTGACATGCCCTGATCAACAAGACTTGCCTGCAGACAAGAACCAAACATGCATTGCTATCCTCCTCCACATTGAGTTTACTGCCTAGTCAACTTTTCCCATGGAGATTCCCGGTAATAAGGACTCAGTGCAAAAACGTCCCCTTGATATTTTGTTCATTTTCGAATGCGCGTGAAACTTCGAAATTTTTGCCTGAGGCTTCTTTACGGTACGGAAACATACTGTGGGGCATTTTAAAAATGATTTTCACCTTGTTTGGCAAAAATCAGAAACATGCAAAAAATGTCCATTTTCCTGGTGGTACAAAAGGATGAAGAAAATCGCATAACTTTGTACATGTGTAACTTTCCAAAATTACGGGATGATCAATGGGGACGTTCTTGCACAGAGGCTTTCATTATTTATTATTTAATTAATTAATTTATTTATTTATTAATGAACTATGAACAATTAAAACCAAACACAGACAACCAAGAATATACCTTAAACATGAGCATTGAATCAACACAATCTATTTTCTCTTTATGTTACAATTATACAGAATTGCTGTACTTGCACAAAGAATTACAAAGGAATGGGAATTTTGAGGCAAAGATCAAGTAAGTGTGAAATAAAACTCAAACACGCTGATCATAGTAACATTCCAAGCAGTCTCATTCCTTTTAAACTGACTGTTTCATCAGCTAGTAAATTTGTGGCATACACTGACAGTTAATGTCTTGCTGCTTTAACATGAATATTATATATCTCTGCTTCAAAACAGATAAATCCCTGATCTGTGCCACTTATCACTTCCTTTATTAAGCTGCTCTACTAGGGTTTTACACAAGTTGCTCGATATTTCCAAAATGTTTCCCGTAATTTCCTAAAAATGTTTCTAAAAAAAAAATCAAAAGTTGCTTTTTGTAACGAAAGTTGCTAAAAAGTTGCTCGAAAAAACAAAATATTTTTTTGTTGGTCTCTTCCTTTATTTGGTCTGATGCTAAAATATCCAAATTGCACAACAAAAGTAAGATTTCTATGCATTTTTTGTGCAAGTAAAGACTATGCATCAGTATTGATATTAATCTTGTAAAAATCTTAGTATGTGCGAATAAAATTGTTGAATGACCTTCTTCACCTGAGAAAGTCGAGTGTGAACCTTCCTCTGCCATTTTTAATTTTCTTTAAAAAACCGCTGGCCTAGCAGCCTGGCTTCATGCATCTTGCGCCGATGATCTGTCCTAGGGGGAGGATTTGGCTCCTCTTTTACAGGAAATTCATAAATTGTCTACTAAAACATTGTGAAATATGGAAGCAAGGCCAGTTCAAGAAATAAAAGCTGCTTTGATATCTCAGAATTAGTGGTGGAAAGCCCTATACTCTACTGCTACAAAGCATTAAAGAGCTGTGCCAAGCTCATCTACATTTAGTTCATTTTGTACACTATTGCCAAGGCGTCCTCAGCATAAGTAAAGAAACTACTTGAAAATATAAAAATCACAGCTTCGTGACAAACAACTGCATCTCCCAAGCATTTATATCAAATGCTTTATATAACAAACATTTAACTTTGAAAAACTGTTAGGAAAACAAGTTTTCAAAAGCCACTATTTCAATCTGTTTTAGTCTTCTTCCCAGTTTGTCTGTTACTGCCTTTTTTCGTATTCTCTATTCTTCTTCTACTGTTTTAAACGGCTACTTTCATGTTTCACCCACAGCGTGCAAAGAAAGTACTGTCCGGTAGCCTGGCGCTAGTTGATTTTGCTATCGGGCTAGTGTATTTTGCTCTTAACTTACCTTAACTTACCCAACGGGCAAGTAAAGTTTTTTGAGAAATTCAAATTACAGAAGAACTGTAATCAATCCTGCTTATCAAAAAGTTTTTGGGGCTAGTTGAAATGACTTTTAGGCTAGAACATGCTACCTACTGCATGCCCGAATGGCAAGCTGTAAAACTGACTTTCTTTGCACCCTGAACCCAATTTGGAGGTCGTTTCCGACGTTTGAATTTTGAATAATTTCGTGACACACAGCTCCCTTAATTTTGGTATGAAAATTCAAGACAAACATGTCTTTTAGGCCGCACTATAGACAGTTAACATACCTTGAGGTATTCGCAGAATGCAGTGTCAGGATTTGCAGAGCCACCAAGTTTTGACACAAATTTCAAACTACATAACAGTTTCGCAAGGTCAGGATCCTGTTAAACAGAGTTAAAACAAAAGAACATTTATTGGGAATTATGTCAACAAATGAGATTGTACAGAATTTATAAAATGTGTTATTGGTATAGGTTATGATTGGTACTGAATCCAGCTTTTTTTGGAAGAAAAGGAAAGCTAATAAAATTGTGACTTGGTTTTGGTTGTTTTTTGTTTTTCTTACAGCTTCACTCCTGATTATCTGTCTCGAGCAACCACTTCTGGACAACGTGGCAGAATATTGTAGAAGTAAGTAGTAGTTAAACATTTTTAGACATGTAATACCTAAGCTAACAATTAAACTTGTTCAAAAGTTCACGGACTATATATCATCTTCTATACTATAAAAATATTCTGAATTAAACAAATGTTCATCCTGCATAAATTCTTTAACTGTGATGACCAAGAATCTTAAATTTGGTTATAAACATTATACCTGTGCCAATCCATTAATCAATATAAAGATCCTAAATTAATATCTTCTGGAGCGTTCTCAAATTTTTTAACATTGCAGCAATTTCTAAATTGCAATGGAAGCAGATTCCACAGTTAACTAGTTCTGTACAACTGCACATACCAAAATAGACCACATGTGGTGAGTCTGTAAGTTCATGCCTACACTTTTCTAAAATAATTCTACTCACTGTCACATTTAGATGTTGCATTTCTAGATCCTGTGAGAGGGTGCTGAAAAATTCCACTGATGGCGGCAAGTAATGAAGAATACGCCATGTCAAGCTAAAGCAGCGTTTTACTACGACAGCATTTCGTGATACTGACTGGGCCTCTTCTGAATCGCTTTTTACTTCCTGTAGAGATCCTGCCATCAAAAGCTTGATTATGGCAGAGTAAAAATCTCTGTAAGTTAGTTCTTCTTCAGACAAACTGACAAGTGTTGAGGAAGCCTGTGAAAAAACATGTAACAACAATAACGTCAGAACTGGCAGGCTAGACAAGGCTAGTTGTAAAGATAATTTTTACCAGTAATTAAGATTGTCCAACCAGATTGGTCTGTTCCTAAATAGCATACACAGCAGTGATAAGATTTGGCAAAAACTCTGCAGAACAACCTCTTATTTCATTTTCAATAAGACCGGTCACACCGCCAAGTTCTGACTTTTGGTTAGCACCACAAGACTGCACAGAGTCCTGTCCACTAGAAAAACAATTGTTTTTGTTTTTACATGTGTGATCTTGTTGCCATTGTAGTTGTGGTTGTTTAGGCTCCCTAGTATCAGTGTAACCATTCAGGAAGCTATGAAGTTTCCAGGTTTTTTCTTCAACCTTTCCTTCTTGATCAGTCCAAATGACATCGTTTGTTGATGGTGGAGGTCAAGAAAGAAAAATGTGCCAGGGAGGGAAACGCCAGTCTAGCCCTTGGGATATTTGAATTTCACTAAAGTTATTTTTAGACCAATTACATGCTTCAATTCATCAAAAGCTGGTTTTCCGGAGAGGTACGTGAACTTTTATTCAGTGTTGCCAAGCACGAATTCAATAGTTGCTATTACAAAATCCTTGACTTTTTTGCTTTGAGGCAGCCACACAAGGACTTCATGTCACTTCAAACAATCGATTTAAATTTGCAGACGTCCCAAACTTCTAAAAACAAATTAAAAGTGAAATTCACATATGCGGCACAACACCTGATTCCCCTCTGCCTCATTGCTCTCTCTTCTGGAGGAACATGTATAATAGTCAGCCAACACACTTCTGAAACACTACCAACAATAGACATGTACCTGACAATGCTAAAATAAGCCTCATGTGCCAAGCATAACAGTGGCTGTGAAAAAAAAATTTAAACGAGCATGACTCTCTTCATATTTAGTAATAACCCACCTCTTTGTCTAATTCTTCCTCTTGCTGAATTGATCTTATCTCATAAAACCTGGGTTTACCATTGACAGAGTTGGACGGGAAGGACTCCTCAGAAAGCAAATGGGCTTTTATGTCAGAATTTGACAGACACTCATCTTCTTGCTCAGCTGTTACATAATACAAAGGTTCAAATGGCTCTGAAGAGCTTTTAACGTCTGATACTTTGTCAGTGGCTGCAATACAACTCTGAAATAGATTATGCTGAACCTGAAAGAAAAGCAAAATCAAAAACTTGAATACAAAGGCTTACAGAGGTACCATCTGTGTAATACATGGAAATGCATAATTAATTATGCTTTGTTTATGGTGCTTATAGTGTAGTTTCGAGCACTCCACTCAAATAAGCAAAAACAAAACATACTACGAAAATCAAACATAACAAGATTAAAAAACCTAACGACAAGTACAAGTAGTTATCAAGTACAGTCAAACCTCGTAAATACGGACACTGAGGGGTTATAGAAAGTGTTCATGTTAATGGGGTGTCTATATTATTAACGGGTTGAATGTAGAGAAAAAGGTCTCCGTATTAACAAGGCGTCCTTAAAGCAGGGTTTGGCTGCAAACATAATTTTGGGTCAAACAGACCTGCTTGAAGAGATCTTGCGGTGGTTTTGACAAATGATGAAGGAAGAAGTCCAACAGCAACAAGAGATGGCAGAGTGGCAGGGGAGCAGTATGTGTTACAGAAGAAGAGTCAGAAACTGCTATGAGAACTCTTGCACAGTATGTCAACAGAGCTTTACGTTGAGCCATGGAGAAATTATGAAAAATAAACACCAACAGCTGAAGATGCTCCACATTTAGATCTGAAGGAAAACAACAAGATAACATTGTCTTTTATAATTACCTTAATCATACTCAAGGCAAAGAAATTATTTTAATTGGAGCTACAGCGGCAGTAACAGATAATTTCACCCAAAAACTAATTTGCCTGACATCTGTTTCCCCGGACATTAGTTGATTCCCCCAATGTTGGGTGCCAGAGGATGAGAGATGAGATTATGGTGTATTTCTTTGTCTGCCTGATAGCAACGAGCAGCAAACTGGAGACGCTAATGCTTTTGTAATACATTACCTTGAGGAGGACAAACTGGCCCCTCTTGAAGAGACAAATCTCGGAGTGTATTTATCAGCCTTTTCCACACTGTAACACATTCACCAATGTCCATTGCACTGTTTGCTTGAAGAGCCTTCTGTTGCCGTGCCAACAGTACCCTGGCAAGAATGCCCAGACATCGTCTGCTCACCTTCAGTGGCCATGGCCCTTCCACCAATGGAGCCAGGCCCAAATGGCCCAGAAACACATCCTAATAAAGAAATAAGATTAAAATTGGGTAAAGGATATTGTATTGCTACATGTATACTGTCTTATAAAATGGTCATGAATGGTCATAGCCCTGGTAGATGATAGTTACTCTCCTGTTGTAACAGTTTATTTTGTATCTAGCATCTGTCCACTATATGCGTACAAAAATTTTGAGGTCACCTGTAACCTACATCTACAATTGTGTACCCAAACAGATACAAAGCGAAGTGGAATTGATAAGTAGAGCAGGGTTGTTTAAGAGACAATGTGTTGCCATGAATATTTGAAAACAAGAGAAGAGTCCAGGGATAACTCCAGAATCTGACTGGTTTAGTGAAGAGCATAGCTCAAAATAATTTTTCTTTCTTGAAAGAACATAAAACTTATGTCCAGGTAAGTCACCATTATGGTGCGGTAGACAAAGCAAAAATGTGGGCTTAGACCCAATCTTACATCACTTATGATAACACTGTGCATGGTAAGGGCAAGATTTGCAGTATGCTGACACAAATTCACAGCAATAATGTTATTTGTTGGTACAACAATTCACTCTTGCTCAAGGTGGGAAAAAATATTAGATTAGTAAGTGGTACATGTATTTACTTTGTCCCAACACCACCAGCAACAGTTACAGTGTAAGGGGCACTTTGCATTCAATAAAAATTCCAGTTTGAAATTTCAGAAATTCCACATGCCCAGTGGAATTAGGCTGAATGGAAAGCACTCAAGATTTTATCACACACGGGCCAATTTTGGTCAGACAATATCTAATGACTGACTCTTACTGGTAGCTGTGGAAGAAAAAAATGTACTACAATCTAACCTGTTGATCACTTGACAGCAAGTGTGAAACAAGAAGCAAATGAACAGCCTGGTCAACAGCCACGCAGAGCTTGGCCAAGTCAACATCACTTGACATTCTGCTGACGGCAACTTGATCCAGATCTTGTACAACACTCACAAGCCCCAAGATATGTTCCTCAGTGAATGACTGCCTGATGTATTCAGTCATTTCTGGTATGGTACTGCTCAGAAGGTGTTTGGTTAAAAACTGTAGGGTGCAAGTTGCTAGGTAAATGTTCTGTAACAACAACAACAAAAAAAGAATTTACAAACTCTTGTTATTATAATTATATAACTGCTTCAAGTGTAATCAAGAAATTCTGAAAATAACAATAATAATAATAATAAAATTTATTATTGAAGTTCCAATGATCGATGCCCTTCATTACCATTAAAACTGAAAATTCAAGCTGTCAGCATTAAATGGAATACTTAGGAATAAAAGAAAAATTTTCCAAGTTCAGCAATAATTAACATCAACTTTAGTAAAATGTGTGGAAAGAGTACGTCTCAGGGAAATATGTAAAATGCATTTGAAATTATTGCTCACATATCATACAACCTCAAAGAAGATTCTACAACGCCACTGGGGTTACATGTATGTGCACCAGTGACAAAAGTGCCTCTTTTCCACTGCCAAATTTAAATTGTGTTAAGAAGAGATTCCCTCCACCATAACACATGTAACAATGGCAATCAACAATACACTGGTAGTACTACACAATTCATTCAGGACTAAACAAGAGAACACCCCAATAAAGAAAATTCTGTGAAGAAGCACTTTTTAACATGCCATAGAAATGGCTATAAAGGTATAAAAATTCAAGACCACTGTAGATAGATAAACATTTTACGTTATCATGATGGTGGTTTTATCATCTAAAGCGCTGGTTTACATAAAAGCCATTAAAAAATTTATTTATCTATTGTGGATCAAATTTATCCTTGGTTTACATTTTGTTTCAAACTCATTATTATACATTACCATGTACCCCAAAACAAAGGAAAATAAAATTTAAACCAACGATAAACAAACACAACCTATAATTCCCTGCTCACCCGGACCCAAGTGCTTTCAGAAAACTCTCTCTCTAAATTATATAAAATCTTAACAGTCATACCCAATTAGTTGGACCATCACTCACCTCCTCTAGTGCCATTTGGAAAGAGCGTCCAGAGGGTGTGGTCTCTGTTCCACTATCCCCAGCCTCACCCCCCTCAGCCTTCTGTCTTGCTGGAGGTTGTGGACTGGGGGACGTTACAGGTGATGTTGATGATAAAGTGTCTTGAAACCACTGACCAAATAAAGACTCATCTTCTGAATAAAAAGAATAGAAAGAACAACACAGTTTCTATTACATTGGATTCATTTTTTTATCATAACAATAAATAAATAAGGACTGCCTGGAATTACGTCCCAAGCGACATCCAAAAATTACTAGATTCCCCTTACACTGCACAATTAATTTTGTGCCGGCTACCTTGATCTCCTTCCACCGTAACTGCTAACAAAAAGTAAGCACCATCGAATAAAATTGTAACTTTCCCAGTTTTGAATGACATTGAATGCATATTCCAACAAGTTGAGATCTGTAAAATGTTCAAACCGTGCGATTTCTTGGAACACCTGGGACAGTTCGATGGCATTGTTCCAGTCTTGCATGTATTCTAACGAAACAAAAATAACCTGGCGTCCACAGTGGAAAATACCTCTTGAAAACCTCTGGACACACCATTTCCGAGACTGTTATTCAAAATGTCCTTAGATGCCTGGGCCCTCAAGAGCTTGTGCCTTTAGTGCGAGTTCCAAAGCCGCCTACTATTCATTATCAGCCTACTACTTAAAAACTTTTTGACAGCCGTACATCCCGATCAACATCTTTCCCATACAGGATCAAGATGGGTTTTAAAGTCAGCAGCTAGTGAACTACATGTGCATTGTACAAAAAGCCAAACAAATTAGCACAGCTGCCTTGCTTTGGAGCTACAGTTTAACCCATCCAAAAGCCAACCAATATTGTTGTAAGCAATTAGAGACTTTTCATTTCAGAAGAAATTTGGAAACGAGTTTCATTATTGATGGTAAGGAAAGCCGTAGAAATAAAGGGAAACTTTGTAGCTAAAAGGGTACATTGTACCATGACATGGCAAAGTTTGTGCTGTACATATACATACCTTCACTGCTCCCATCTGAATAAGAAATGTATTCACTGTCACCCTCATCAGAAGATGATGCTGGTGACTTTGAACTGTCAGACTTGCCAGAACTTGGTCGAGATGGTTCTTGGCCAGCTGTCACAGTGGGTGTGATCATGGCTGTAGCCTGTAGACAAGAAAGGATGCAATGGGATATTCGTGAATGGATAGATTGTACAGTATTGTCACTAAAGCTGGAGTATGGACTGTTCACCACCTTCAACAAAGCTGAGTTCTTGTCATTGTTTTACCCAGTTCAGTAGATCTTAGTGACTGTGCACCATCCACAGGTAATGTAGTCATGTAAATGCATGCACATGTTATACAATGTAATTAATCGTCTAAGACAATGTTGTCTGAGGCCCTGCCAGGGTAATTCCAACAAGCAACATGACCCAAAAAGCATATAAACACTTGACCACAAATTTTTGTTTCCATTGTTAAATTTTGATGTGCTCCTTGAAAATTCAACTCCTGGAAAAGTCGCCTACATGTACATTTGACCAATTGAGCCACCTGAAATAACTGTTATAAATTCTAAAAAAAAATGACAGGTTTATTATTTAATGACGTCCCCATTGCTGTTGCTGTCCTGGTGGCTTAAACTTTCTATTGTTATATACAAAGCAAGCCTATACTCCAATTCAAGAACTTAAATGTGGTATGTTGAGTTATTTCAAAAGTAGAAACAGAAAATGTAATGCCCACCATTCTGTACAATGTAGAGAACTGTGCTAGCAAGTAGTTTAAAAGTGGCAGGTCATCCATCAACTTCTTGACTCTCCTCCAAGCAGAGCAAGGAGAATTGACACTGAAATCAGCTCCAATGGAGATTTGTTCATCCTCAGCTTCCGTGATCAGTCCTTCCACTTGAAGCTCTTCCAACAGAGAGGATAACAGGGTGATGCCGTGTGATGCAAGAGCAACGACTAATGTGTTGACACCTTGTAACCTGCAAATAACAATAAGCAAGAATCATTCTTGATAAGTTTTCAAAGCAAAGAACAAGGTAAAGTTCACGTATGACAAAACTAGAGTCAAACATCCATATACGCATGTGTGACCACCTATCTGAAACACCAAACGTTTCTTTGTCAAAGTCCCATACTTGGAGCCCCTTGTAAAGAATCACCGCTTTAAGTGACGTCGACCACTTTTGGGGTACCCTGTGAGCAGAGTCTCCTTTGATCTTCCTAGTTCCCGGCTTATCTAGGAAGATCGAAGGAGCCTCTGCCCGCAGGGTACTTTTGGGGGGTCACAGTATTAAAATTTCTCATTGTTTTTAACCACTTGTAAGTGACATTTGACCCATGACCCAATCTCTATACAATGTATTTCTATACTGTTATGCTTCTCAGAGCATACAAAATTAACAATAATTTCTAGTGACAACATATGGAACTACACAAATCACAAATTAGATATTGCATTCAATTAATTCTCAGCCAAACAGTAGATATGTCATGACCTCTACTTGGAAAGGACTGCCTGTGGTTCGATTCTCATACATGTGCCCAAAAACCTTCCGTACGCAACCACTATAAATTAATCTTTGCATTTCGGGAGGTCCCTTACAGGAGGTTGAGCTAGAGTAATTAAGTGCTGTTATACATTTTACCATTTGAATTTAGCACCAGCAGTTTCCTTGGCGCTACTATCTTCAGGAGTCAACCCAAGCACCGGTAACAATCCTTGAATTATTCTATGAGCTGCCAACATGTGAATGTTTTGCAAGACTTGTCCTCCTGCTCGTGATGATGATGATATAACTCCACAGATGACATCAAACACATTAATCTGCCACAACCAAAAGTAATAAAATCACATCTTTCTGGCAACATGATGTATACACTCTACAGTGTACTTATAGTAGTCCTTGTCTAAAGAAGAGTTCTGAAAATTAATGTCACATTATTTTGCTAAATTAACCAAAAAGACAGGTCAATTTTTGTCTCAAAATCCACATTACGTACTCCAAACAGGCTCTAATTTGGCTAACAGCGTTAAAACACCACTACAGCTAGTGCTGTTAAATTAACTTTAATGCCGTTAACAAGGAGCACTATCTTGTGTTGTCAGTCAGTGGCCTGTTTGGTGGTGTAGATGTAGTCAGTCTGCATAAGCACCATGTATTAAATACAGTGCTTCATAAAGGCCACTGGGCTTTGTTTAGCCTTTGCTTTTACACCAACCCCAACCAGCCCCTGTTACTTTTCCACTGATTAGTTACTGTGATAGTTGCCTGACATTGAAGGCACAGGGGCTTATGACTGAGAGGTGTGGATTTACAGGCCAAGAAGGCATAACTCTGTGCAGGGGCTGGTTGTGCCAAAAGTAAAAGCCCCAAGACATCCCTTGTAGCCACCCCCACCAAGCAACTTTCTGCTGGACAATATGGCTCAAGAGATTTATTTCCCTTCCCATCCCCTACCCTGAAAAAAAAATCATCATCATCTAAATTTCGTTCATTTGAACATTGTACATGCAGAGCACAACCGTAAATGCCTCTTACGCAGTTTTCCACAATGCTCTGAACACATCTTTCTAAGCTTTCTTCTTCACCAGTCATTTTGCTGGCAGATTTTGCTCCAGATGCCTTTGACAGTGATGACCTTCCCAGCAGTGTTTTGCCTGATAATGGTCTACTCAAACCTGTTGTTCCTGAAAAGTTTACGACAAATGTTGTTGTTATTATTTTCATTTTCAACAGATATAAATAAACCAGAAGAACTTCTTTGTTTATGCATTTTTGCTTTGGGAATCGAAATTGGGAAAGTTAAATTCTCAATTTTCCTCTGTCTCAGACAGGCTATGATTCAAACACTCGCATACAGAATGCAGACTCTACAATGTTTGTGCATTTATTAGCATGAAGAAAAAAGTATGTGCAAAGTGAAAAAGAACAAAAGTACATGTACACATGTACACTGTATGTGAATACTGACAGTCAAAATTAAAGTCAGGTTAAAATTTTTTAACTTAGGTTGATTCTCAATTTCCTTTGACTCCTAGTCACTATAATTATTCATGAATTAGGACTGGGAGACAAAGGAAATTGAGAATCAACCTACAATCAGGGACAAAAGTAGTTGACACACGTGTTTAAAATGGGTGCTTTTAACAAACATTTAATTCATTTATTATTTCATTCCTTTTAAATGCCCTAAATCCCCTCAACCCCTGAATCAATGTTGTCTGAAGTAAAAAAAAGACTTGAGGGTCCAAAATACAACATTGATCTTGGGGGGAAGGGGTTGGGGTAGACAGGGGAAGGGGATAAATATATCCACTATGCAAAATGGGACCATTTTACGGAAGTGTGTCAACACTTTTGTCCCTCATTGTTGGTTAAAAATTTTCATCCTGAATTGAATTTTGATCTGTAACATATGCAACAAAAAAGAACAAAAGTACATTGAAATGTATATCAGGAAAACGGCTTCACTATAAGTGAGTACAAGACCTGTACACAATAGTACTTTACTTAGTATGATGATTAAAAAAATGTCCTTTTGTTCATGCATGCAATTAAAGAAAGTTAGTGTACAGATCACATCAGAGTACAGACTTGAAGCCAATATACCTATAGTACAAGGAATCTGAGAAAATTTAATTCAAAAGATTTATGATTAAGTAGTAACTGTACAATAACTTTTTGTAACATACCAGCAGCACCAGCCAAGCTGAAATTTCCAGTGGCCACTGTAAGGGCAACATTTAGGCAGGCTAAAGCCAACTGACTAACTTTTTCCACTCGACTTGCTGAGAGTGGTTCCAGTATAGGGATTGATATGATGCCTGATATAACCATCAACTCAGAAGACAGTTCCTGGATACTGCAATAAGAAAAATTCATCCATTTTAAGTAATCTCCTACTGTGTTTCCTCAAATAACCATCCATATTCAAATGAGCAACCATATCCCCCTCATTCCTTGCTAGCAGAGGTTCCTCACGATAAGAGAAGACAAGACAGAGAAGAAAGATAGATACGTCTGAGAGGTACGTCTGCCGGCCCCTGGCAACCACTGTGGTTGAAACTTACTGTTTTTCAAATCTGGTTTCGTTTAATGTGGAATGTGCATGCCCTGTTAAGACTGCACTCTGGAAATTTCTGAGTGCACAGCTGTTATCCTGCAAGCTGATTCTGTAAGTTGTGTCGCAGGTGTCTAAAAAGTTACTGGTTGTTAAGGATACGCCAGTACATGTATGATACAAAACATCACATCAAAGCTGATATGCAGAAACAGTAATAATACATTATAAGTTTGTGGCTATTTTCCTTTTGCTTCCTCTGATAGTAGCTTCGGGTCAAGCTCATAGTACATTTTGTAGACTTTGGGTGAAATCCCCAGTCCCTGGCCATTACTTCACTGATTTAGCAACAGAACGGGAACATCAGCTAACAACCACACACCCAAATCAAACTACTGGCTTGACCAATGGCAGAGCGGCAAATTGAGCACCGGAAGTCACGTCGTGTGCTTTCCCATCATCAACTGAAGTCACGTTCTGTTGCTAAATCAGCCTACTGACAGCCCTGCACATCAACCCTTGGATTTAAGGGGTTGTGAGGTGGATGAGAGGGGGAGGGAGAAGTGGATGCCATCCTCCTCCAAAGGTAGCATAAACATGGCCTCCTACAGGCTTAATAAAATGTTGTAACTCTTCAGAACTATAAGAACCTACCTGGAGGATGTAAGATTCATCGGAGAGGAAGATCCCACAGGATTAAATGCAATCTTTGAGAATTCAGGCAGGGAAATGCACAGATCTAATAATACCCTGCCACCTCCTAACTGTCGCACTGAGGCTACATTGCAGTTGGAAAAGAAGCTCTTGATATCTGTGCTACTAGAACCTGGTGCTAAACTCTTTTCATTTTCAGTCCTAAGATATTAACAAATCCTATTTCAGAATATATAATCTGAAATTCAACTAAAATAAGCTTAAACTGAAATTTATTAAACCTTCAACATTAATGTATAATCAAAGTCCTAAGCCAGTACTTTTATTTCTGTTTGCCTTGTTTTATTCTCATTTTTCATCGTTATCATAAAGAAAGAGAAAGGACAATTGAATCACACATTTACATGTATATGTTACAGGTCAAATTTTATTTCTGGTTAATTTTGATTTGACCTGGGTTGATTCTCAATTTTCTTTGTCTCCTAACCCTAATTCATGAATAATTTATTAATCATCATAAGTTAAATAATTTTAACAAAATCACTGTTAATTTAATAATAATAAACATAGTCATCTGGGAGCAAAAGTTTGGCACCTGCAGGGGCCAGTTGGAGCTGCTAGTGCACAGCCTTGACTAAAGTAACCACTACAATACAGTACAATACTTTCCAAGAGCACCTGCTTTTGTCCTTTGTAAAACTTGAACTGGTATCTTCCCCATTCTCGGTAAATGCTGTCTGCAGACGCTGGAAGAAGTCATCTCCTTGGATGAGTGAAACACTTGTCTGTTTTTCAGATGAGCTGGCTGTTTCCTTGAAGCCATTGGCTGATTTTAGGATGGCTGTTAATGTGATTATCTCAGTTCTGTTCAAACAGCCATGTCCTTTACAAAGCCCTTCAATGATGGATATTAACTGCTTCTGTGGAAAAGTAACAATAATTAAATTTTGTTGTCAGTATGTTCAGGGTTCATACTCTTTTGAGCTTTTGAAATTTCAAGACTTTCCATGACTTTTCCCATAACCATTTCAAGTTTTCTATAACCTTAGCAGGGTGCAAAGGAAGTCATTTTTACAGCTTACCATTCCGGCAAGCTGAAGCTAACATTTACTAGTCCAAACGTCATTTCACCTAGCCCCAAAAATTTTTGGGAGATCAGAAATGATTTAACATTTCTTCTGTAAGTTGAATTCCTCAAACTACTCGCCAGTCGGGCAAGTGAAGAACAGAATTCACTAGCCCGATAGCAAAATTCACTAGCCCCGGGCTATCGGACTCTACTTTCGTCGCACGCTGCCTTAGGTTATGCTGTCACTTTTGAAATTTTTCAAAACTTTGGTTTTCACCAAAATGTGTGCCGTTTATGCTGTTTACTCATGTCCATCTTTTTTTATCGTCCTTGCTTTGACATCAGCAGTGACTAATCTGCCAAAGGTAACTTTAATTTTCCATGATTTTCTAAGTGCATGTAGAGTTAAATAATAACATTATAGTCCAGGATCAAATGTTGTCCACACTCAAAGGGTGCAATACATGTAATTATAAGGACAGTACATGTACCTTCAAAGGTTGTCGCAATTCCTTTTTATTTTCCAGCTCTAACAGAACAAACTTAAGGAGCACTTTGCATGCTTTCACTATTATTTGCAAACTAGCACCACCTGTAAAATTAACACATGTAAACAGTGAATGACATACAAAACCATTAAGTTTTGAAGCAGCCATAGCAAAATTAATGAAGATTCACCCATAACATCTCTCAAAAATTTATAGTGCCACCTCTAGATTTCCACTTTCGTCAACCGAAACATCAAGTGAGCTCAGCTGTAACAGGTGTTACAGGTTACGGTCCTTAGTGACAGCTCTCTTGTTACTCTGTTAATTGGGATGAATAATAACACAGGTATTGGATTTGGCTTTTGTAAGGATCGAGGAGCCTTTAGATAAAACCCTATTCAATCTTCATAATTCTTCACATCTTACTCAGCCTCATATAATAATTCCCCAATAAACTATGCTGATTACCTGTTGAGGTAAAAGGATGCATGTACACAACAACCTTGCAATGGAGCAAGAGAGTAAGAATATCTTCATACATGAACATTACACTGCCATAGTACTTTACTTACACTGAGTAACATTTAATCCAATGTAATGCGCAGACAACGCCACAAATGAATAAATCCCTTCACGTTCCTGTCCTTCAAGTATTTCATTTTCACTACAGAAAAGACAGTAAAGTTATTAGAAATTTTATGTTTCATTGGTAACCTGCTAGCATTTGCAGAATCGGATGTTGGGAAAGGAAATCTGGCATTGGGTTGGGGCGATTATCAAACAACAAAAAAAAAGAAAGTTTTTTCCTGCAGGCAGCTGTAAAATTCACTGGTTTTTAAAAGCAAATGATAAGCTTAATGATTATAAATAAATAGCAAAAATCGAGTAGCAGATGTCAATTAAAACAGTATGTTCAGTTTCGAAATACTCTCATGATTTCTGGATCAGCAACAAAAGTATCAGCTTGACATGACATGAAACTGCTTAACTCAGCTGATCCCATGACAGTAGTCCAAAGACTTTCGCTATCACCCTAACTTTGAACAGTCTTGCGAACATCATCATGTACGCGTACACACACAACGAGAACTAAACCAGTAATAAGTAATCTTCTTACCTTCTGGCTATGACTGAACATAGCGGAGGAACATGTAACTTAGAAAACGACGAAATTATTGCTAAAAGGTGTTCGACACCTTCCTGCAAGCCAGCCATTTTGGCTGTTATGGCTCCCACAATGCCTTGAAAGTAACTAGTCACCAGTCCACAGTTGGCATCGAGCGATTAGGCTTGGTTCGCAGGTAACCCAAGCTCGAAAAAAATAAGTATCGACAGGATTGTCGCGCAACATAAAAAATGTGAGGATTTGTATGGCGAAATATAAATTGTTTTTTGTATCCTATGGTTATTAAAGGATTCCAATAAAATCGGCTAACTTCGCTTTAGTTGCGTGTTTCTTCTTTCCGGCGATAAGGATTATAGAGACAACAAGCCGGTTCCAGTAAAGGATATAAAATGGCAATACATGGACCATCCCGCGGTTTTTTTTTTCAAGTTTTGATAAAAACCATTACTCGAATATCCACAGACACTGCTAGAGAGAAAGCCTTAAAATCTGTAAATTTACCAAGTTTAAAGGTCAAGCGTCCCAAGCGAGCATACCATAGAACCACAAAGTCGCGAAACTGTACAGACGTTTGTATGGTAGGGAGGCCGGGGGATCTAACTTGCTGCCCCCCAAAATAGAAACGTTTGAAACATTTCCCGAATTTGCCAAGCTACCGTATATCTGCGTTAGTTTTCAACAGATCAATTTCAAACTTGGCAACTTTACTGATTTTAAGGCGTTCTTTCCAGCCTAATTACGGATTTTTTCTGACTGGGTCTCACATGAAAAAACTATACACACAACTAAAGAATAGTTAGCCGATTTTTATTTCAATCCTTTCATATTCGTGGGTTTCGTAACCTGCGTTGCAGCCGGCCCACGCACTCGTCTAAACCATTTGCAAGGGCCTTCGTAGGCAAAAACACGAGTCCATACAAGTTCTTATATTTTGAAGGTTACGGGATAATATTGATGATCATCATATTTCGAGCTTGTGTTGTAACGACTTAGGTTGTTGATGTTCTTACGTTTTTCTTTTCATTATTATTTAAAGCAAGAGAACAGTGAACAGAACGGTGCACAGAACAGTTTGTAAGAATATGGCAATTTTAACTCAATTACTGAAATATTTTATTTGGATTTTATTTCTTACGTTTTTTGGCGTTTACTGGTTTAATTCATTGGCCTGATAAATGACAAATAAGTGGAGAGATAAGAACAGATTGTGCCTCTTTACCTGGGACAACGAAATTTTACAATACTGATACATGTCCATACATCATTCTTCCTCCTTCAATTTTGACATTGACATGGAAAATGTATAGAGGGAGCAATCCGCTAGAACTAGTGATTTCTCTCTGAATATCAACTGTTTTTTACATCATTTGTGGACTTTTTTCCTCGTTGACGAGGAGAGTGTTTTCAATCAGTCTTCTTTCATTCTATTATATCATCACCAATACATAGCCTTTATTTATTGATTTTATGTTTAGAATTTATAATTTATTACCGATATTTGATTACTTTATCATTGTAATTCGGTTTTTGAAAAGGAAATGAGGATCTTATTATTATTATTATTAAATTATCCGATGATAGTTTATTAATTGAACATTGCACAATTCTCTGAACGTCTTTTACCGCAGCCAGTGTAAATCATTTATGACAGTCTAGTCCTGTTAAGATGCGGTTCGATGAGTGTCGCGGGGACAGTTCCAGACCGATATCAGACATGGTACCAAAAAGCCGTCTTTTAACTTAGAAACGACTGGGACTTTTTTCTGTAAATTGACAATATGCATAAATAAATGCTCTTAGTGTTTGTCTCAGGGTTTTTGTTCTATCGATACAGCAGGTCTCTTTCCGTATTAAATTTCTTCAGTTGTAGGCTCGATACAGCCGATGAAGGTTACTGCGGTCGTTGTTCGAGGACACCCTGGTTCGAACATATCTGTCTTTCAAATCACATGAAATTGATCTTGCCAGGCTTGTTGGAATATTTGAATCTACCGTTGTTGGACAGTTACTGACCAACCAAGCTGACTTTGTTTGTTGACAAAATCGCACACCATCATCTTTTTTCTGGGTTTCTTGTGTTTTTCTTATTCTCAAAAGCTCCTTAATTGCCTTCCTAAAACGACGGTCTCTATAGCAGTAAAGGATAGGATTTAAGACCGAGTTTAGCCGAACTAGTGTCCTTGAGATATGGAAAACGAAACGAAGATGCAAGGCTGGAAATTGTAGTAATATTACTTTCGGGAGAATATTGCCTAAGGCAATTGTCAAAAGAAGGGCAGCTGTTATTAAACCAGTCGTTTTGGCAACGTTAGATTCTCGTTTTGCCTGAAGTTGAGCAGTAATCAATCTTATATCGCTCGTGCGACGTTTTCGTACTTCGTGGTAAACCATGGCATAGAAATATAGAATGAAGACAACGAGTATGACTCCACAGACATTTATAATCAGGATCCCGATGCGAACTAGGTCAACTTCCACGCTTGTCGTTAACATAATGAACAAAGGCAGCCATGTAAAAATCGCCGACAACCAAGCGAAGATTGCAATCTTGGTAAGAAACGATTTTGTCATAATTACCTTGTAGTCCATTGATCTCCGTATGGCTACGAACCTTTCCCAGGCAACCATGGTCAGATGGCACAGGGAACAGAAGCGTAAGAAATCCTCTAAGCTTAAAGCTACTCTGTTTATCGTACATACAAGCTTAAGGGAGCCTTCGTGGACCGTTACCAAGGAAGTAGTGACAGCGGGTATGGATGCAATGCCTGTTAGAAAATCTGCCAGCGCGATGCTTGATAATAGAATGTTGGAGTGTTTTTGTAGCTCTTTCCTTTGAGTCACAGCTATGATTACTAACGCGTTCAAAGTTATGGTAAAAGGTGAGACAGTCAATGAGATGGCGGCTAACAGCCAATGAACCATAGTCTCATGTTTCTGACTTAAGTCACTTGAGGAAACGTTGACAAGCGGTCCGTAGCAAGACATGCTTATTCTGGTCAGTCAATAAAAGCTAGCCTGAGTTCAGTTCTTGTTGGTGGTTATGCGTTAGTCCGATGGAAAAAGCTGAACCCTGAGAGCAAACAGATTGTTGCGTTAATAAATGTTTAGGGCTTTTAATGACAATCCATAAGAGAAGAAAAACCATAGTTTTTGCACAAACAAGAAGATCGCATAAAAGAAAGGCGGCAAGAGTCGGTAAATTTTAATTAAAACAGACTTAGTCTTAACGACAACAGACAAATTTTTTTTAATACTACTGAAGTTCGAAAAAGCTTTTATTTGTTCTTGTATGGTGCCGCAAAGCTATTTTCAATATTAATTATTTCGCAATTTTAATCTCAAAAAATATTAAAATTGTATCAGAACAAAAAGCAGAGCAGTGACTAGAGTTTCATAAAAGTATAGATTAGATACTAAGATATAAGATAAACACTTTACTTCAATAGTGTGCATAATTACATGTCGCACTGTAGTCTCCCTTATGGCCCTATGAAACTACTAAAATCCTAAAATCCTTAAAAACTAAAAACTATAAAGGTAATAAATAATTCAAATTTCAAGCTTAAGAAAGCTAAAAAATGTTCTGTCAATTCTATAACTCTCTAAGGCGACACTTTACTCGAATTTACACGTGAACAAAAACTTAAATAAGTACTTTAAGATAAATTGTTGAAATATTAAGTCATTTAAAAAGCTAAAAGATTCTGTCAATTTTAAAACTGCCAGGCGTGAATTTACACACTGGACTGAATCAAAGTAATTTCTTTTGAACTTCTGTACATCAGAAGAGCAGACTAAATCTTTGTCGCTGACATTATTTCACAGGTTAACTGCATTGTAAGAGAACATTCGCTTCACGCTATTGGTACGTAGAATAGGAAGGCAATGAGGCAACCTAGACCCTTATTGTATCATGAGACTTTCAAAGATAACAGTTTCTCAGAGAGGTAATCCGGTGCGCGTCCATCCAGTAAAAGAAGTAGTCTTCAGTCTTTCAATACAGGTTTGATTGATGGGTAGCCACCCAAGTTCCAGAAATAGCTGCAGGGTGCTCCTCAAACGGAGCATCTAGTACAGTGGAACCCCGCCTTACGACCACCCCGTTTATATAAGACCACCTCGTTATTACGGCCACATTCGTTCAAACCAAACGTAAAAACCATTGAGTCATTTTATTTTTTTGAGGACCCCGTTAATGGGACCACCTCGTTATTACGGCCAGGATTTTATGGCCCAACGGTGGTCGCATTAACCGGTATAATACGCGCACATCTTCTTTTTTGAACATTAAAAAATCTCATCCAAATTAATCTTGCATTACAACTTCCCGAAACGGAGACACAGTACTCAAGAATAGGTCTAACACTAACTTTAAATAAAATGATGTGATATTAAACAGGTAACAATTTTTTAATGCGAGCCAGAACAGTAACTCGCTTTAACACTTAACTTTAACAGATTAGCTACGTAGGATGACCAAGATAGGGAAGGGTTGATATCCAGTCCCAAGAGACGTTCCCCTTGAGTTTGCTCCAGCTGTCTATCATCCAAACACAGCAAAAGGGGACATTTTTCGCGGGGGAAAAGCCTTTGTCGAGTGCCAATTATCATGTACTTTGTCTTTTGCGGATGTGCAGCCATGCCATGATCTTTCGTCCATGTCGCCGTATTAGAAAGATCCCGCTGGAGTTGTACCTGAAAATCAGTCAGAGTTGAAGCTGCGCTAGCATAGAAAGTAGCATCATCAGCAAAAAGGCCATTTCTATTCTTCCAGGTTAAGGGCAGGGTATCAATAAAATAATAGGAGGAAGAGGACAGGGCCAAAACCCAGGCCCTGAGGAACTCCAGAACTCAATACTTCAATACTTACTGGTGCAAGGTTTGATGACTTTGACCCTTGAGCTTACAGTTGTTCTCAATGTCGCCCAGAGTTTTTGCGTTTGTTTGTATCTGTATCATTAAACCGTGCGTGGTCGAGTGTTATGTTCAAGCTCCTAATTTCTGTGTCTCCGCTAATTCAACAAGCACGATTGATCATGATGTTAGCATTAGCGAGTTTCGATACACTTTGAAAGTTCACAGCTCGCTTTAACCCCCTGCTGAATACCTTTTTATGTACACAACCCGTATTTTACCGAAAGTGTTCTGAATTAAACGCACACTGTAAATGTGAGGAGGTAAAGTAAAGGATATTAAGTATATATGTAGGTTTTTAACTTTAAACCGTGGAACAGTCTTCCGGCGGAGATCAGAAACATTCAGAGCCTCACATCTTTTAAGCGAGCTCTCAAAACGCACTTTTCTTTTATTCATTTAAATTCATTTTGTTTTATCATTTTTTAACATAGAATTTAATCGACTTACATTTTTATGATAGTTTTTAATTCGACTTATTTTTATCTGATCGTCTGTTATGCGCATACAATTTTCGAAGCTCATCTGATCTTGCTAATAAATTCCCTACGATTTTCTGAAGTTTAATTTTTCATATTTCACTCTCCGGGTTAGGCTATTTTTCGCAGCGAGTGAAAAGGAACCCAGAAAATTTTTGGATTCAAAAATGTGATGAAAGAAGGAATCTGAAAAATTATCTCCTTCGTAAGACGTTAAATTGCATCTAAAATTTTCGGGAAAATAATTCTGAATTCCTCGTAATTTCGAAAAGACTCAAGTTCCCCTAGAATGGCCGAACACTGAACAAATTTTATAACGCCACTTAGAATGCATTTCTATAGAGTTAAAAGTACTTTATGAATAGCTAAAAAATGTTTTCTTAATGTATTCGAGGAAACCGTCGTTGGGTGTCCCAGTCTCGTTGCCTTCTCCGCTTAGCACTACACGATTTTATGTTTAGTATGAGCAAACTATAAATATTATCAAGAGCTTAGCTTTTAGCCCTCCTGACTAAATTTATGTATTAGCGCCGCTTCCAATGCATTTGAAAGTACTCTGGGCAGCCTTAAATGTGTTTTCAATGCAGTTAGGGGGAAATCGTCGTTGGGTGCCCCTGAGTTTTGAAAATAATGGTAATAAAAAAAGATATCGCGCACATAAATTTTACTTTACCATATCTTCAACTGTATCTTCTATTCAGCTGCATAGCCGACGCCAGATTTTGCCTTTGTCCTGGCGGGAAAACCTCGTCCTCCCTCACCAGTTTGGACAACATACTGTAGAATAAAACGTAGTTCTGGAAAGAACTGTTTATTTAATTAATCTAAGCAAACAGGTCTAGTAGAGTCAAGAACCTATGCAAGCGGCTGGACGAACAATGTGACAGCAGCTGTGACAGCGAACGTTAGAAGAATTCGAGCTTGAAAACCAGGGCCACCCTGTTGAAAACTTACGGACGGTCGCGCGATCGCCTTTTGTTTTCTGGTCAAAACTAACGCAGCGGACCCTAGAAGCAATAGTACCATCCCTCCCATTGAAACTGTTGCATTGTCGCGCGGACGCGGTCGCTAAGCTTGAATATTCACGTCGCGTATTATACCTGGTAGTTCGCGGTCATATCGAAGCGTAAAGGTCAACAGAGTTTGTTGATGAGCGAGCGATTCTTGTGCAGTTGCGATGGGTTTTGTGGAGCAAGCGAGCAAGGAACCGGAGCACACGTTACCTGCAGATTAGCCGATGGCAATTAGGAGCGGATTCGTTGATTATTCTCCATTTTATAGCGCTTCGCGTGAAGGCGCGTGGAGATGGTCCGTTTGTTTTGTAGCCAGCCTTTAATTCTTCTTTAGTGGATAGCACCTACAATTGCAAAACTCAACAAAATGCCACTTTAACCGGCCAGGAAATACAAGGATACGTTCAGTTGAAGGTATCTTAGCTTTGTTTTGTTATATTTTGACTTTTGGACTATTTTAGTTCATTGGAGTTTCGACGACTCATCGCATTAATTTGTCCATGTGAATATTAATATATTCATTCAGTGACACATACTACGTCTAGGCCGCCTGTGGGATATTCAAGTTGTGTGTGCTTTTTTCCGTATTCTAGTGTGTAATACCTCTTAATATTAGCACATCTGACCTTCATCTTTCAGGAGATATAAGGTTGGCAAATGGCTTTCGGAGAGAAGAGGGAAGAGTTGAGATATTTCATAATGGTGAGTGGGGAACTGTTTGTGATGATTGGTGGAATATTCAAGCTGCTAACGTGGCATGTCGTCATCTTGGATTTTTTGGTGCCCGCCGCGCGATTAGGAAAGCTTACTTTGGTCCCGGGAGTGTTCCTATACTACTAGACAACGTACGTTGCCGTGGCAATGAAAGTTCTCTTGGAGATTGTTCTCACAATGGGTGGGGAAAGCATAATTGTGGACACTATGAGGATGCATCAGTTGTCTGCGAGAGTAAGTGCTACAATTCCGCTTTAGTTAATAATTTTTCCTCTTTTTCTTCTGATTTTTGGTATAACATGTTTCTTTCCGTGGCCTTAATGTTTTGGACTCTGTGGTTGGTCTTTATCCCACAATAGAGATATCTTTAAAAGGAGGCAACCAATGAAGTGGCTTTAACACTGTAGGTGGTCATTGCTCCAAATTGGTCCAAGTCGGAAGCCGCTATTCTTAAAGAATGCTAATTAATGAATGCGCACGTAGCTTGCGTGGCAGGCATTTATATGGGGGAAGAGAAATAGAAACTGATACAGAATAATTGGCCGGAATGTGACAGATATCCGTATAACTCCCGGCTGTAATGTAATATCCAATCCACACATTTAACTTTTTTCGCGGTAATAGGCAGTTTAAGCACCTACAACGACTTCAAAAAAACAATAGGTTTAATGATCAAAACAACAGCTCTGCACTTGCATCACGCTTTTCAGTACATTTCTGTGACGTCCATTGCACGACTACAACTTGAAACCTCCTAATTTGTCGTTTTTTGGAGGACGTGGACATACGACGACGAATTTTC